TTTGAATCTTCGGACCACGGCTAATACCGGGAGTGATCAATCAGTGATCGATGATGGAGAATCTTCAGAAATGGAAGACAAGCGTGCCAAAAATGAGGTAATTTAATTTAATTTAATGTAATTAATACACTGCATCTTAATTAATATGACTCAAACCGGTCTAATTCAATAATTAATATTAATCTTTTTCTGTATGTTAATGACACAGTTGGTTAAGTTACAAGATGAGCTGAAGAAAATGACTACAGAGAATCAAAAGCTTAAAGAAATGCTTGCACAAGTGAGCAGCAATTACACTTCACTTCATATGCATCTTGTTTCACTGATGCAGCAGCAACAACAACAACTACAAAATAATATTCATCACAATAATGAGGTAATTAATTAATTGATTGATTGATTAACCACAAGTAATGACTATAGGCATTTAAATTTAATGAAACTTGTATATGATTAGGCTGTTGGGAAGCCTGAGGAGACGATAGTACCGAGGCAATTTATCGATCTAGGACCTTCAAGAACAACAGGAGAGGTGGCCGAGGATGTTTCAAATTCTTCATCAGAAGACAAAACTCGTTCTGGTGGTTCTTCAGCAGCCGAGAGACGTAGTAACGAAGTAAGAGATGGGAAAAGACTTGGGCGTGAAGAAAGCCCCGAAACCGAGTCGAACAAAATTCAGAAGGTGAACAATAATGCTAGCCCAACAACGTTTGATCAATCATCCGCTGAGGCTACAATGAGGAAAGCTCGTGTCTCGGTTCGTGCCCGATCAGAAGCTCCCATGGTAAGTTATTTTAAGACATAACAACACTTAACGGTCGATATATGTAAATGGACACTTACATAACTTACGAGATTAACTATGTTTTTGTACTTGTGTCTTTATAGATAAGCGATGGATGTCAATGGAGAAAATACGGACAGAAGATGGCTAAAGGAAACCCTTGTCCGAGAGCTTATTACCGATGTACAATGGCCACAGCTTGTCCAGTTCGCAAACAAGTAAGTCTATTGGCTCTTCTAAGATTAAACCATTAGACTAAAAAATTATGATTATATTAGTTTATAGAGTATTGAATACATATGTTTTGAGGAGTGGTTCACTAATAAGTTTGGTTCGTTTGATATGATTTGTATAGGTTCAACGTTGTGCGGAGGACAGGTCGATTCTGATAACGACATACGAAGGAAACCATAACCATCCGTTGCCACCAGCCGCCGTGGCGATGGCTTCCACGACCACGGCTGCGGCGAACATGTTACTATCCGGATCAATGTCTAGTCACGACGGGATGATGAACCCTACCAATTTATTAGCTAGGGCTGTTCTTCCTTGTTCCACAAGTATGGCCACAATCTCAGCCTCTGCACCGTTCCCTACCGTCACATTAGACCTCACACACTCACCGCCGCCTCCTAATGGTTCAAGCTCTTCCTCTATGGCTGCCACCAACAACAACAACCAGAGCCACAACTCTTTGATGCAACGGTCGCAGCAACAACATCAACAACAACAAATGACGAATTTGTCCTCGGGTATGTTACCACATGTAATAGGTCAAGCATTGTACAATCAGTCCAAATTCTCGGGGCTGCAGTTTTCCGGTGGCTCTCCGTCGTCGGCTGCGTTTTCGCAGCAGCATGCCGTGGCTGATACGATAACAGCTCTCACAGCTGACCCGAATTTCACGGCGGCTCTTGCAGCCGTTATTTCTTCTATGATCAACGGCCACGACGGCGAAGGAAACAACAAAAATCAATAGAAAAATATTACAATTGTTTTTTTCCCTTCTTTTATACATCTTCAAATTTTCCATAGGAAACAGAGAGTTTATTTCATTGATTTGTTCTGTTTTGTATTGATATTCCAGTAAATACACAAAAAAAAGAAATATATTTTTATTTTTATTATAGGTATTTATTTGTGGATATATACAAATTAGTTACGTATCTTTACTCTTTAGCATTGCCTTTAATAATGACATGTCTTTTGTGTGTATATATCATACACGACATGTGAGCGCCGATAGAGAAACCTAATAGTTTGGCCGTACCTTCAATAGAGATAATGAGATAACGTCAAATAAGTGTAGTACATAATGACACTTAATTATTGACCATACCATTTAATAACATCTTTATTATACGTATATAACAATTGCAAAGGTCAATAAATGCTGCCACGAGAATTTGACACGTAATTGCTGTTCAATGAAGTCACCTACAAATCTGTAAACTTTAATATTGTTAACAAAGAGAGACAATTTCCTAGAAACTACGAGTTTAATGGCGATAAACCGAAATATGGGACCAGAAAATTAGGCAATGTAAAGAAAATTCCAGCTTAGTCAATCTATACATTTCTACGAAGAATGATACTAGTAATTGTTGTTGATAAATAGTTTTGTAAAAAAAAATAGAAAAGAGAAAAAAAGCAAAAACCTGTCGACAAAAAATGATACGTTTCCTTAATTAATTAAGCAAATCTGTTGCATTAGTTATAAACTTATAAAGTAATCTTAAGTAGAATATCTCAAGCTTTGGAATGAAGCGATACGCAAAAGTACGTTGTTGACTTTCCGTGCAACTCCAGTTGACGTGGGGTCATGATTTGCCAATAATGCATTTGATTAAATATACGAGTATTTATTATGCTTAATTTTTAATTGTGCTAAAAACTATAATTAATAATTGTTTATCTGCTTCCGATCCGAGATGCATCTCCTCCTCTCGTTTGTATATATATTTTTGGATTAAAAACTGGATTGGTCACAATAACATGGCACGACATAAATTATCTCTAAAATCGAAAACTAAAACGTAGGAATTTTTTGCACTAACCATTGATTTGACCACATATCTTAAGTCACTTGTAGTATTTTGCATATGACATTCGTTAAAACTTGGAAATCTCATTTAGAAATCTCGCAATAAAAAGAAAAGAAAAACAAACTTAGATGACTTAAACCAATAAAGGGGTCACAGAACTCTAGTTCAAAGCAAAGTTGAATTGGCATTCTAACGTAATTTGACTTTGTATTTATGCCATACATGGTGAGATCCCAAGTTTAAAAAAAAAAAAAAAAAAAAAAAAATCACAAGGTTTGCGTGAGGTCGAGAAGGGAGACTTCTCTACGACTTTTGAAAATGGAGTCGTTGAGTCACATGTCTGCATGTGGTCATACTCTTTCTAATATTTTCTTTCTTCTTTAGAACTCTTCGTAAATTAATACATCTAATTGGTTGTTACAATATGGTTGGTAAAACAATGAGGCGATTGGATATATACATAGTTATATCGTTGATTAATAGTAACCGGCCGTTTTATTCAATATTATCGTTCTGGAATTTAATGCAGAATACTGGATAAAGTTGGTCATAGTCCAATGTAGATAGATATACATTGAAACATACAAAAACTTGAAATGTCAAATTGGATTTCAGCTCCAATGTATAGATTGGATTCGTAAATTTTAAATTGGAGGTTTGAAGTATAAACTTGATATGAAGCAGGAACGTTAAAGTTTACCAAACTACATTTTTGTTTTTCAAGAATTAAGAAAAAAAAAGCTCTCCAATAGGTAATGTGTTGAAACTTTGGAAGCACCAAAATAGTAGCTTGGTAGATTGATGCCAAACGATTGTATACGTGATTTTTTAATGTGTAAAGTTTATTTTCAGATTCATGGGTCGAATATTAAAGGCATAAGGCCCATCAAATATGTTTAAGTGGTGAAGAACCAAAAAAGGTGTCGAAGGAAACATAAATCTACATGCACACTTTACACACTTTTTCTTTTTTTTTTTTTTTTTTTTTTTTTTTTCGCCTAACACCAAAACGACGTCGTTTTGCACTTTATTTTTTTTTTTTCGTCTTACACCAAAACGACGTCGTTTTGCGCTTATCTTTTTTTTTCGTCTTACACCAAAACGACGTCGTTTTCGTAAAAAAAAAAAAAAATCTAAATCAAAATTATGTGTAATTGTTCGTTTTGATAGGCTTGATTATTTATCGGACCTCTTCGTTTCCATGGTAGCTTTAAATGGGCTTACTGGCTAATTAGCTCATTTCATTTCCTTTTAAAAAGGGTTGCAATTATTATTATCTATGAGTCTGTAGGATAATAATCAATCTATAATGATTGTTAGTATAAGGAAAATTAGAAGAACTCAACTCCAGTCGATAAATTATTGTATAAAAGAACAAAAAACATATGAAACTATTCACTATGAGTCTATATAAGATTTCACGTAAATAACAACTAAATTTTAAAACTATATGAAAAAAAACAAAATGCAAAACTTACAGAATCTAATATATTCGAGTAAAAAACAAATGATATATTCTAATGTTCTGAATAATTAAATTAAAAATATTTGGTTTAATCCGCGCATTGCGCGGGTTCTCTCCTAGTATTATTCGTATAAAACTATTATAAATCAACGGTTAAAAAATTCGAAAGACCACGTGAATTAGTCAAGCTGGAGAACATCTGAGAGTAACAAACAAAAGTTAGTGGGCCATATCTTATCACGACGTCAACGGTAAAAAATTTAATCTTCCAGATCCAACGGCCAGGATTGATGATATTAACAATGTTATATTTATGCGGGACCCGCAGTGAATGTCGTGGCTGCATATTAGCAATCTTTGCTTCAGTAAATAAAACCGTTTTTTAATTTGTCTTCCCTCACAGTTCTGAGAATCTGGTGGTAAAACCTCTGGTGAGTTCTCACTCTTTCTTCTACTTATTGATCTCATCAGCATTTCTCGTTGTTTCCTCTGAATTTTCTGAATCCTTGATTAATTATCTAAGGTGTTCTTGATAAATCCTGTTGTTGTCTTTGGTATATTAATAGATTTCGTTTTTCCTATGTTCTTCGATTTGAATGATTTGTATTTTGCATGATCCGTGTTTAGATTCTGTTAAATATTGTTCCTGAATGTGTGTTTTTGTTCTTGCATGTCTGTTTTATTGCTCAACTAGGATGATTTGTTTGGAGCTTTAGGTATTCTGCAATCTTACTATTTTGATATTTTTGGTTCTGTTTGATTACGTTTTTTTTTTATATAACTTGGAGAAAAAAATATTGAAGTTTTTTTAAGAGCTTTTGGGTTATTTTTCAACCGTACACAAATTAAATAATTTGTTTGAAGTTAGACAGGCCAGTGAATATATATATATATATATATATATATATATATATATTTAATGTTTGTTTCATATGAGTAAATTAGACACTATGTTCTTATTACCCCCCATCGATTTATTACATTTTCGTGTTAATAATTGTTAAGTTTCTTGGAAAAAAAAAATCCTTGTTGATTCTTGTGGATTTGCCATTGAAACTAGGATCAATTTCTTTTTAGGTCAATGTTTCCCCTGTTTCTAGGTTTTGTTTGTCATCATGTTATTTGCTTTGATAATTAATCAAAATTATAATTTTATTACTCATTTGAGGTTGGTTTTGACTTTTGATTGGTTTTCTTGTGTTTGATGATGTCAATTTATAGGTGAAAACATGGGATTACACTCAAGAATATTTTCGGTTACACTTTTGGTGTCGTTCTTGTTGTTTCTTTCCGTGTCATCAGAGAGCAACGACGGAACAATCAGAGTTGGCCTGAAAAAACTGAAGTTGGATCCTAACAATCGACTAGCAGAACGCTTTGGTTCCAAGCAAGAAGAAGCCTTAAGATCCTCTTTAAACAAATTTCGTTCTCACAACAACAAAAATCTTGGAGATAGTTCTGGAGATGCTGACATTGTCGCGTTGAAGAACTACTTGGATGCTCAGTATTATGGTCAGATTGCTATCGGTACACCACCGCAGAAGTTCACCGTGATTTTCGACACCGGAAGCTCTAACCTTTGGATACCATCAGGAAAATGTTATTTCTCGGTAAGCTTTTCATAGCGTTTGGTTTACAATTTTTTTCTTAAATATGATAAGACAAGTTTATAAGTTGTTCTTTACTTGATCTTCAGCTGGCTTGTTACTTCCATGCCAAGTTTAAGTCTTCTCGTTCAAGCACTTATAAGAAGAGTGGTACGTACGCTATCTCTTAGATTTGTGTAAAATCACTTTGTTAAGGTTATAATCATGCCAAGTTAATTGTATGTATATGCTTAGGAAAAAGTGCAGCAATCCATTACGGTACAGGATCAATCTCTGGCTTCTTTAGTTATGATTCTGTCACGGTTGGTGATTTGGTTATCAAAGATCAGGTAAATTATAATATTTTGTACACAAGTCTTGGTGATTATATTTCACAGAATGATTGACTTTAGTTTCTGTTCATTGCCTAATCTCTATCAGGAGTTTATTGAAGCAACTAGTGAGCCTGGTTTAACATTCTTGGTGGCTAAGTTTGATGGGCTTCTTGGTCTTGGATTCCAAGAGATCTCTGTTGGAAACTCCACTCCTGTTTGGTATGCGCGCATGCACTTGCTTAGACACATATACACACTTATGTAATGTTTGATGTGTTGGATGACAAATTTTGTTTCTTTTTCAGGTACAATATGCTTAAGCAAGGACTTATCAAGGAGCCGGTGTTTTCGTTTTGGCTTAACCGTGATCCAGAGAGTAAAGAAGGTGGTGAAATCGTATTCGGAGGCGTTGATCCAAACCATTTTAGAGGAGAGCATACATATGTTCCTGTGACACGAAGGGGTTACTGGCAGGTTGCTTCTTTGTTTATATTGTTCTTGGTTAGTTTTTTGCTATGAATGTTAAGCAATTGCGTCTGATCCAAGCTATTATATTTTTTTGGTATTAGTTCGACATGGGTGAGGTTCTCATTGCTGGTAAATCTACTGGTACGTGTTGTATCATTTTCTTCCATCATCCGTATAGCTGGTTTCAAGAGGAGAATCATAACTATGTTTCATATTTTATAGGATACTGTGAAAGTGGTTGTTCAGCAATAGCGGATTCTGGAACATCTTTACTAGCCGGGCCAACGGTAAAGCAAGAATCATAAATGGTTTTGTAGCATTTCAGTTTGTTGGAGTCTATATGTTTTGCTCTTAAAACTTCCCATTTCTTGTTTGTTTTGTTTTATGGCCTAGGCTGTGATTGCCATGATAAACAAAGCTATTGGAGCATCTGGAGTTGTTAGCCAACAATGCAAGACTGTTGTTGATCAGTATGGACAAACCATTTTGGATTTACTTTTGGCCGAAGTAAGTAAGAATCAGAATTAGCTAAGAAACATATCTATTTTTTTTCTGTATATGGAAACTCTTTTTTGCTTCTTACAGACGCAACCAAAGAAGATATGTTCACAAATAGGTGTTTGCACATTTGATGGCACCCATGGGGTCAGGTAAAATTTCCATAGACACAACAAGTATATGTACACACATTTTTCACGGTCGGTCTTAACTTATTAATTAAGTGTTATTGTGTTAATGTTTTAGTATGGGGATTAAGTCGGTGGTGGACAAGGAAAACACAAAACCACCTAGAGGTCTTAGAGATGCCGGTTGTCCTGCATGCGAAATGGCGGTTGTGTGGATGCAGAGCCAATTGAGACAGAATATGACTCAAGAGCGCATAATGAAATACATCAATGAGGTACGTAACAAGAAGTCTTCCATTTGTTATCATTGTCTTCTTGAAACAGCAATGAGAATTGTTCTTGGACTGGACAGGTATGCGAACGCATGCCAAATCCCAACGGAGAGTCTGCTGTCGACTGCACAAAGCTCTCTACGATGCCTACTGTTTCATTCACCATTGGAGGCAAAGTCTTTGATCTTGCTCCAGAAGAGGTAAAATTTTAATGTTTTTGAGAGATGACTATAATTGGATCAAATCTTGATGAGCCTTTGTAACATTTTGAACATTTGCATTATATTTTTGACTGCCAGTACGTACTGAAGATTGGAGAAGGACCAGTGGCACAATGCATCAGCGGCTTTACCGCACTTGACATTGCTCCACCTCGTGGACCTCTCTGGTAAAATCTCTCGGCACAAAGAAAAAATATACACATGCCTGATGATTGTTGCCTTTACAATTCATATTCTTGAAATATAAAACATTTTCAGAGTTCAATATTTTAAAATGTATAAGGCATTTTCTTATTTATCCCGATTCTTGATTTTGAACAGGATTTTGGGAGATGTGTTTATGGGAAAATACCACACTGTCTTTGACTTTGGTAATGAGCAAGTTGGGTTCGCAGAAGCTGTGTAAAGAAAGGTCTCTACGATGATGTAACACAAGTTCAGTCTTTTTTTATATATATATATATATGTGTGAGAGCTTTGTTGTGTACTTGTGTTGCTTGTTTAGTACGGACATGTTTTTAAAGCCGAAGCCTTTGAGTACTTGTTGACTTGAGTCACATTCTATCTTCTCTCTGCTTCTGTAAATATCCTCTAGTAGATAATGGGATATGTATCGATAGTGTGTTGTTTTATCCAGCTATGATCGATAATTAGATGTGTTGTAGCAGTTTACGTAAGAACCTGGACATAGTACTGGACATATTAACCATTGTATGATCTAGATGATACTAGTTCTTAGCTATATTATAAATAATTAGTTACCAAGAAAATATAATATCATATATTCGAAAGTAATAAAGTAGTTAACAGTAAAGGATAAAATGGTGGGCTATTAAGAAATAAGAATAATAAAAGACAAATGGTTTGCCATAAACATATGTTTAAGCTTTAAGGATGTTTTGATTCTGCATAGTTTGAGATGATTAGGATGTTACTCCATTTTCAGTAATTGTATTATAACCACTGAATTGCAGCTATGGAGTCTCATCACGAAAGATGCCTCTGTGTTTGGAGAAAAACACAACTGCTTCCAATGGTCTCAAAACATTTCTATATAACGAAAAGTTTCAATGGTTGAAAATTCATATTTATGTTATTGGCCCTAAAAGACTTTGCATTTTATTCATTGCTATTATCAACACTTAACTTGTGACTTGTGAGAGACTCAGCACTTATGCCCCATGACTCATTTATCCAAATATCTTTGACAATTTATTCTTTCTTTTAAAAAATAAAAAAATAATCATTTATTTAATCTTTACTATTGTAAATCACCATTCACCAATACACAAACCCCACATTATAATGTCGTAGTGAGTTGGTGACAAAAAAATAATTCGAAAGATCATCTATGAAAATCGAACTCTGACTTTAACCTAACAAAACCGATTGACTAAAACAACTTCGTTTAATTTATAACGAAGTTCCAATTTTCTTCATTTTCAGCTAAAACCTCTATATATATAACACAAACTCCTAAAAGATACAGAGTCTCAAATATTCAACTATATAAGGTAAACAGAATTCACATTCTTGATAATATACTTTACAAAAAACACATTCTTGATAATATACACATTTCTAATATTCAGAAACTAAACAAAGTGAAGTCAATACAAATGCTTAAAGCGTTGGCTCTTGACCTCGACCAATACACAAATTGACTCTGTGGATAAAGCTTATCATCTTTACAAGAATATAATTGTTTTATCTAATTTTGAATTAGAAAGTTCGTACGATTTTTTTGATAATTAGTGGGTCGCTGCCATCAGTATTATAGTGGTAAACAACATCCTAGATAAGAAAACCTAACTAAACCTGTTCAATTTTTAATGCTACCAGTTAGGTAAAGCAAGAAATATACATACATATATATATATATATATATATATATAAGATTAATTTGTAAAGTTATAAATCTGAATGTTGAGATTGTACTGTACAAGCTATTGAAACTTGCCAAAAAGTTACTAAAAGTGGCTATCCCCTTATGAGACTCCATTACTTTTAAGTAAACATTCTTGTCCAACACTAACTAACTCCCCCTAAATCACGTGTGTTTTGTAATAATCAATCTCCATTTGCCTCTTCCCTGCCTATATATGCAACCCTATCCTAAGTTGAAAACAAAACAAGCAATTACAAAGATGGAAATTCCTATGCAAGAAATTCATATCAAGATTGATGATAATTCAATACCAACCAGCAAAGAGAGAAATAAAACCGACCTCGCTGATCATGCCGAGCCCATTGTCCTGATGTCTGTTTTGAGAAGTCTCCACGCGGGTTATTTCAGAATAAGCCTATCTCTCTGCAGCCAAGCTCTTCTTTGGAAGATAATGATCGCACCAGACTCACCGAGCATGTCCCATGTGCGTAGCAATCTCCCTTCTACGGCGTACCATCTCCTCTGGTACCTATCACTTGCGACGCAAGTTTCCCTCTGTTTCTTGTATGCGTTGAAGTGTGTTTACTTGTTCGACACGGTGAAGGAAGAGTTCTCGCATTTCATTGGAGTGAACTATCTCTACGCTCCATCTATCTCATGGCTGCTTCTGCTTCAATCAGCTCCTACGATGAAACCGCAAAGCCTCTTGTACCAGACGCTATTCTGCGTTTTTGCTGTTCCGGTCTTAACCCTAGACACAAAGCTTTATGGCCAGTGGTTCACAACCGAGAAAAGGTTTTTGTCGATGATGGCAAACCCGGCAAGTCAAGTATCGGTAATCGCAAACCTAGTGGCGTCACGAGGAGCAGCGGAGATGGGTTGGAGAGAATGTGCTCTATGCTTGTTCTCACTCGGGATGGTTCACTATTTGGTTATCTTTGTCACACTTTATCAACGCTTACCGGGAGGAAACAACTTCCCGTCCACGTTAAGGCCGGTTTTTTTCTTGTTCTTTGCTGCACCAGCCACTGCGAGCCTAGCTTGGAACTCTATTTCTGGAACCTTTGATACTATGGCGAAGATGTTGTTCTTCCTTTCATTCTTCATCTTCATGTCCCTGGTAAGTTACATACAATACACCAAAAAAAAAAAATCTCAAAACATAATAACATTTACTGTTTTGGTATTCGGGTCGGTTCTTATCAGGTCTGGGTCGTTCGGATATAGGAGTTTTGAATATTAGACTTTCGGTTCGGTTTCATATTGGGTTCGGTTTTGTATTGGTTATATTTGGATTCGGGTCAGTTCTTAACCAAAAATATGAAAAATATCCGAAAACACAAAATATATCCAAAAATCCAAAATAAAATGCTAGAAAAAACTAAAACAAGATACCCAAAATACCAAAAATTATCCGAAATATTGAAACTATATCCATAATACCTAAAAAATACCTAATATATTTGACATTTACGGGCTTTTTGGATATTAAATCGGTATTCGGGTAGGACCGAAACATGAGAATTAATGAAAGTATTTTATTCAGTGTAGTAAACTGTTCATAACCAAACCTGATTCGAACCGGTTTTCGGGTGGATTCAGGTTCGATTTTTCGGGTCAGGGTTTTTCGCCTAGGCCTAACATTTATTTACATTGTTTTTGTTTAACGTTTTCAGGTCTGTAGGCCAACTCTTTTCAAGAAGTCAATGAAAAGATTCAATGTCGCATGGTGGGCTTACTCGTTCCCACTTACATTTCTTGCTTTAGACTCGGTTGAATATGCGCAAGAGGTCAAAGACACGGTCACTTCTGGATTGATGCTTGTTTTATCGTCGGTCTCAGTTTTGATCTTCCTCGGTGTCATGTTACTGACTGCAGCTAACAGCAACAGACTTCTCAGACGTGATGATTCTGTCCTCATCGGTTCTGTTAAATGTAAAAAAGACAAGCAAAAATCAATTAAAACTGCGACTTTGTAACAAAATATTTACAATTAAACGCAATTTCGTCAACATCAAAAACAGAAAAAAAAATACTCGTTGGAATCATAAAAAAACGAAACTGAATCTATGCATGATCGTAAATATTAAAAAAATTAGAAAACAAAAAGTTCATAATTCGTCCATTTACAATTCTAAGTTTTTCTTTGTTTAGAATGAATTACAAAAACCAAACTGGTCCGGTTATTGAAACTGAAAATGACAAGATGAAATCCTGACCGTCAAATACTCAACGTGAAATCCAACGGCGGAAAAAAGTGAAATCCATCTTGTTCAAACCAATCAATCTATGAAAAAACAGATTGATCTTTCGACTAAACCGGGTTAAGCAGAGTCACTCTCTTCTCGTGACTCTCTCTCGATCTCACAAAGGTTCCTCATTTAGGGCTTATCGAGGTAAGAAACTGTAAAGGATTCCAAAATCAGCTGATTCCGAATCGAGATAATGCGGAGAGCTATGATGATTTCGTCGATGTCACAGAGATTTTTTCATCGGAGACTTTCTGAGAAAGGTAACATTTTCGGTTTGTGTTGCTGGATTCGAGCTTTCTCTGGTGCGAGTTATGATTACAGAGAGAAGATTAGAGTGGGTTTCTACAGGATGTTAAGTTAGATGATGCTTTTGTTCAGTGAAATGGTCAAGTCTCGTCCTTTGCCTTCCATTATTGATTTCAGTAAATTGTTGAGTGCATTGCAAAGATGAAGAAGTATGATGTTGTGATATCTCTGGGAGAGCAGATGCAAAAGCTGGGAATGCACATATCTGTATACTTACAATATTTTGATAAACTGTTTCTGCCGCTCCTCTCGACTCTCTCTGGCTTTAGCTCTTCTTGGGAAGATGATGAAACTTGGATATGAGCCCAGCATTGTCACGCTTTCTCGCTTCTCAATGGTTTCTGTCACGGGAATAGGATCTCGGATGCTGTATCTCTGCTTGATCAAATGGTGGAATTGGGATATAAACCTAATAGTCACATTTACAACTCTAATCCATGGACTCTTTCTCCACAACAAAGTCTGAAGCGTGTCTTTAGTTGAACGGATGATTGCTGAAAGGATGTCAACCAGATTGCTTACTTATGGTGCGTTGGTAAATGGAGTGTGCAAGAGAGGTGACACTGACTTGGCTTAAAGCTTCTTAAGAAGATGGAAGCAGAGAAATTAGAGCCAGATGTTGTGATCTACAGCACAGTCATTGATGGTCTTTGCAAATACAAGCATCCGGATGATGCACTCGACCTATTCAATGAAATGGAGAAGAAAGGAATTCGACCAATGTTGTTACCTACAATCCCTGATAAGCTGCCTTTGTAATTACGGAAGATGGGAAGATGCTGCTGGATTACTGAGTGATATGATTGAGAAGAAAATCAACCCGATGTTGTTACGTTCAATGCATTGATCGATGGGTTTGTGAAAGAGGGGAAGCTTTTGGAAGCTGAAAAAGTGTACGAGGAGATGATCAAGAGGTCTATAGCTCCTGATATTTACTTACAATTCACTGATCAATGGGTTTTGCATGCAGAGTCGCTAGATGAGGCAAGCAGATGTTTGATTTAATGGTTAGCAAAGATTGTCTCCCAAACGTAGTGACATAATACTCATAAATGGATTTTGCAAGTGTAAGAGGGTAGGATGGCATGGAACTTTCGTGAGATGTCTCAAAGAGGATTGGTTGGCAACACAGTCACTTACACACTCTTATCCAAGGGTTTTTCCAAGCTGGAGATTGTGAGATGCACAAGAAGTTTTCAAACAGATGGTTTCTGCTGATGTGCCTCCTGATATTTGGACATACAGCGTTTTGTTAGATGGGCTCTGTAAAAACGGGAAGCTAGAAATGCATTGGTCATATTCCAGGATATGCAAAAGAGTAAACTGGAACTCGATATTTTCACATACATATTATCATTGAAGGGTTGTGCAAGGCTGGGAAGGTTGAAGATGCGTGGAAATTATTCAATAGTCTCGTTGTCAAAGGAGTGAAGCCTGATGTTGTAACATACAACACAATGATCTCAGGATTCTGTAGGAAAGGTTTAAAGGAGGAAGCAAGTGCCTTGTTCAGGAAAATGAAAGAAGACGGTCCTCTCCCAAATAGCGGTACTTACAATACGCTGATCCGGGCATACTTAGAGATGGTGACAAAGCCGCATCAGCAGAACTCATCAACGAAATGAAGAGCTGCGGTTTGCTGCAGATGCTTCCACCTTTGGCTTGGTCACTCAAATGTTGTCTGATGGGAGGTTGAAGAAAAGCTATCTGGACTTGCTTTTTTAAAGACATCTTGTGCTGGTTTCTTTCAACAGAGCCGAATAATGAAACATGCTGGAGACTTGACTGCCGCTGCAGCACTTGCTGATGAAGCTAGACGCATGGACTTAGCAGATCGCTATATAAACAGGGAATGCGTTAAGCGTATGCTGCAGGCAGATCAAGTATACATCTCCGTTTTGTTCATATTGTATTGTTTTGTTCGATGTCCATGTTAGACCTCGACACTAGTTTCTTCTTTCTGTGATTTTTTATTTGGTGGCTGAGAAAACTGCTGTTTGATCAGCTCAACAATCTTAATGACACGCAGTGCATGTGGTATGGCTCTATAAAAGCCTGAGTAGTTTTGACATTTCAGAAATCTTTCCAGTGACTGTCTTTTGATCTCATTTTGTAAAAGGTATGATCTTGCATCTGGAGATAGCTTACTTGGACGTGCTCTGAAGAAGTTTTTTAGCTGTGGAGAAGCACTGTTCTGACATTTCTGAAGATCAGTTTTGATTTCCACTCGTATTGTTCAAGGAAAGATGACTTTGCCGTTCATATGTTGACATGCTTAAGTTCCAAGACCGATTGCACTCATTCCCATATTTCCACAGAGCAGCAATCGTAGCTATCAGGTGAACTCTTTGTTGCACAAATGTAATCCAACTTCTGTATGTATATATGCATGATAGATTGCATGCCTCTCGGCAATCCCAAGTCAACTGCTGAAGAAGATGAAATTTCAAAGTTGGCTCCAGGTAACTAGCTTCTTGTCAAGTGATCCTATTCAAGCTTAGATTTGATCTTATCATGTTACAGTTGTAACGTTTGCATTTTAATTCGGCAGATTATTTGGTGCACAGAGCTGGCTGCATACGCAGAAATGTTGCATGTTTTAGATCCAAGCAAGAAAACCGGAGGCTGTCAAGATAATTGAAGGCTCGACCAATGAAGTGGCTCAATTGTAATGCTTCCTCCTGCAAAGACCAGGTCACTTCTGGATTGATGCTTGTTTTGTCATCAGTCTCAGTCATGTTACTGACTGCAGCAAAGAGCAACAGGCTTCTCAGCGTGATGATTCTGTCCTCATCGGTTCTGTTACTGGTAAAAAAGATAAGCAAAAATCAATTGAAACTGCGATTTTATAATAAAATTTATACAATTTGGAATTATACAATCAAAAGCAATTTCCACAACTTCCAAAACAGAGTAAAATTTTCAAAATTCGTCCATCTTTCTGAAGAATCCCTTACAATTCCGTCGAATTCAAAACTGGTCCGGTTATTGAATTTGAAAATGATAAGATGAAATCTTGACCGTCGAATAGACAAAGGTAATAATCCAACGGCTCTGAGAAAAGTGAACTCAATTCAAACCAATCGATTTGTGAAGAAAAAAAATCATCTTTCGACTAAACCGGGTTAAGCAACACTCTCTCCTCGTGACTACTCTCTCTTCTCTCTTCTCCCGATCTCCACAAAGGTTCCTCATTTAGGGTTTATCGAGGTAACAAATTGTGAAGGATTCCAAAATCAGCTGATTCCGAATCGAGAAAATGCGGAGAGCTATGATGATTTCGTCGACGTCACAGAGATTTGTTCATCGGAGACTTTCTGAGAAAGGTAACATTATCGGTTTGTGTTGCTGGATTCGAGCTTTCTCTGGTGCGAGTTATGATTACAGAGAGAAGATTAGATGGGTTTCTACAGGATGTTAAGTTAGAGGATGCAATTGGTTTGTTCAGTGAAATGGTCAAGTCTCGTCCTTTGCCTTCCATATCGATTTCAGTAATTGTTGAGTGCATTGCAAAGATGAAGAAGTATGATGTTGTGATATCTCTTGGGAGAGCAGATGCAAAATTGGGAATTCACATGATCTGTATACTTACAGTATTTTGATAAACTGTTTCTGCCGCTCCTCTCAGCTCTCTCTGCTTTAGCTCTTCTTGGGAAGATGATGAAACTTGGATATGAGCCCAGCATTGTCACGCTTTCTCGCTTCTCAATGGTTTCTGTCACGGGAATAGGATCTCTGATGCAGTCTTTGCTTGATCAAATGGTGGAAATGGGATATAAACCTGACATAGTGGCGTTTACAACTCTAATCCATGGACTCTTTCTCCACAACAAAGTCTGAAGCGTGTCTTTAGTTGAACGGATGATTGCTGAAAGGATGTCAACCAAATGTGCTTACTTATGGTGCGTTGGTAAATGGAGTATGTAAGAGAGGTGAGACTGATTGGCTTTAAAGCTTCTCAAGAAGATGGAGGAAGAGAAATTAGAGGCAGATGTTGTGATCTACAACACAGTCATTGATGGTCTCTGCAAATACAGGCATCCGGATGATGCACTCGACTTATTCAATGAGATGGAGAACAAAGGTATTAGACCTGACGTTGTTACCTACAACTCCCTCATAAGCTGCCTTTGTAATTACGGAAGATGGGAAGATGCTGCGACTAGTAAGGATATGATTGAGAGAAAATCAACCCCGATGTTGTTACGTTCAATGCATTGATCGATGCGTTTGTGAAAGAGGGGAAGCTTTTGGAAGCTGAAAAATTGTACGAGGAGATGATTAAAGGTCTATAGCTCCTGATATTTCACTATAATTCACTGATCAATGGGTTTTGCATGCAGAGTCGCCTAGATGAGGCCAAGCAGATGTTTGATTTGATGGTTAGCAAAGGTTGTCTCCCAGACGTAGTGACATATAGTACTCTGATAAATGGATTTTGCAAGTCTAAGAGGGTAGAGGATGGCATGGAACTCTTCGTGAGATGTCTCAAAGAGGATTGGTTGGCAACACAGTCACTTACAACACTCTTATCCAAGGGTTTTTCCAAGCTGGAGATTGTGAGAGTGCCCAACAAGTTTTCAACAGATGGTTTCTTGGTGTGCCTCCTGATATTTGGACATACAACATTTTGTTAGATGGGCTTTGTAAAAACGGGAAGCTAGAGAAAGCATTGGTCATATTCCAGGATATGCAAAAGAGTGAAATGGAACTGATATTCACTATAATATTATCATTGAAGGGTTGTGCAAGGCTGTAAGGTGGAAGATGCGTGGAAGTTTTTGTAGCCTCAGCCTCAAAGGAGTGAAGCCTAATGTTGTAACATACACACAATGATCTCAGGATTCTGTAGAAAGGTTTAAAGGAGGAAGCAAGTGCCTTGTTCAGGAAAATGAAAGAAGATGGGCCTCTCCCAAATAGCGGTTTACAATACGCTAATCCGGGCACACTTAGAGATGGTGACAAAGCCGCATCAGCAGAACTCATCAACGAAATGAAGAGCTGCGGGTTTTGCTGCAGATGCTTCACCTTTGGCTTGGTCACTCAATATGTTACATGATGGGAGATTGAACAAAAGCTATCTGGACTTGCTTTCATAAACACATCTCCGAGGTGAATCAGCTTTTTGTATATTGTTAGTTTCTGCTTAACATTTTCTCATCTGTAGGCCAAACACTTTTGAAGAAGTCGAATAATAAGAGCCAATGCACATTGTATCATACATTGTTAAACAAATCCAAAACCGAATCAATCCAAAAAAGGTAAACTCTTTAAAAGAAATTTCAAAATGTTATAGCTTCTTCAAGTGTTCTTCTTGAAGCTAGAGCTTGCTAGTTTCAGAGCTCGTAGTCTCTGGTTTTCCTCCATCAACCGGTTAAACTCAACAAGAAACCCTTCAGATTGCTTGTGTAGAGCAACCGCAATTGATTTCTCAGTCCCAACTTCTTTAGACATTGTCTCGGTTTCAGATTCCAACTCCTTCTGCTTCTCCAATAGTGCCTTGATCTCATCCTCCATCTTCTTGATCTCATCTGAAACTCCACTCTTTACGCTTTCGAATCCCATTGCTTGCTTCTTCATAGCTTCCATGCTCTTCCTTCTTATCCGTAACTCTCTCATGTAATGATGCAACCTGTCTATCATTAGTCCAAGAAACAGAACACCTCCTGCAATCAAACAAAAACAGAGCAAAAGAGTAAAAACAGAGCAAAAGATAAAGTTTCAACATTTCAATTCCAAAAACCCAAAACTTAGACAGATCCGATCCGAGCAGAGAGAATCAACATGGTAAACCGAATTATCCCCGGTTTGCTTACCCATAAGAGTCGATTCAAGTAGATGCTTAGCCAAGATAACATCATCCGTTGGATTGGTCGAACCGGCATCGACCCAACGACGCTTATGGATCTTCATCATACCGTACACGCTTGACACCAAAACCACACAAACAGTCATCGCCACGGTCTTGACCACCATTGGTCCACGTCCGCGCTTCGATCGATCTAGCACCATGATCAGAAGCTTCCTAAACGGCGTTTTGAAAGAAAACGCGATTATCACAACGGCTTCCAACAGAACGACCGCGAACAACAGTTGCTGCATCGTTGACCGTTGACGATTGATCGGAGAAGAGAATGCGATTCACCGGATGGAAATGGTGAAGTGATCGGAAACTTTTTCCGTCAATCAAAGTAAGAGAGAAAAAGTGAAGTCGTGAGGAGATCAATGTGTTTGACTGTTTTTGTGAATTTGTGAATCTCCGATTTGTTTTCTTTTTAAATACGTTTTCGTATTTATTACGTTAGTCCTTGTACTTTGATGGAATTTGAATAATTTACCTCTATTTTTCTATTTGACTCAATTCCAAACCGGGAATGTCCGGATTAAACCAAATGTTTCCCGGTTCAAATTTGGTAAACCGAAGAATTTCCGTTACATCGTCTTCACCAAATTGATCCAACTCCATTTCAAAATCGCTGCGACTAGTGCTCTTCGCCGTTGACGACGATGAGCCGATCACGCGGTGTCTTGTTGATTTTCAGAAATGCGGCGTATCGACTACCGTCTCTTAACTCTTTCTCCTCTTCGTCGTTTCCGTCAAGTTTGGGTATTCGAGCAACGAACAAGGAGTTAAACCAGATGATAAGATCGGGCTACATCGGCGAAGCGAGAGAGATTTTCGAGAAACTTGAGTCAAGGAACACGGTGACGTGGAACACGATGATAAGCGGGTACGTGAAGAGGAGAGAAATGACGCAGGCACGGAAGCTGTTCGACGAAATGACTGAGAGAGACGTCGTGACTTGGAACGCGATGATCTCGGGTTACGTTTCCTGCGGCGGAATTAGGTTTCTCGAGGAAGCGAGGAAGCTGTTCGACGAAATGCCTTCAAGAGATTTCTTCACTTGGAACACGATGATTAGTGGATACGCGAAGAATCGGAGGATAAACGAAGCTCTGTTGCTGTTCGAGAGAATGCCTCAGAGAAACGCTGTGACTTGGAGCGCCATGATCAATGGATTTTGCCAGAACGGCGAAGTGAATCGCGCGGTTGAGCTGTTCCGGAGAATGCCTGAGAAGGATTCGTCTTCTCTGTGTGCACTCGTCTCTGGACTTATCAAAAACGAGAAGCTTGAAGAAGCTGCGTTGGTTTTGGCTCAATACGGGAGTGTGGATTCTGAAAAAGAAGATTTGGTTTATGCTTATAACACTCTGATTGTAGGTTATGGACAGAGAGGACACGTTGTAGCAGCTCGACGTCTCTTTGATCAGATTCCTGATAATGGAGGAGGGAGGTTTCGTAGAAATGTTGTTTCTTGGAACTCCATGATCAAAGCTTACTTGAAAGTGGGTGATGTGGTCTCTGCTCGGTTGCTATTTGATCAGATGAAAGATCGAGATACGATTTCTTGGAACACGATGATCGGTGGATACGTACACGTGTCTAATATGGAAGATGCCTTTGCTCTGTTCTCGGAGATGCCTAACCGAGATACACACTCGTGGAACATGATGGTCTCAGGTTTCGCCAGCGTCGGCGATGTGGAGCTCGCTCGTCGCTACTTTGAAAGAACGCCTGGGAAGAACACTGTCTCGTGGAACTCGATCATAGCTGCTTACGAGAAGAACAAGGAGTACAGAGAAGCTGTTGATGTGTTTATCATGATGGGAATTGAAGGAGAGAAGCCTGATCCTCACACTCTAACTTCTCTTCTCAGTGTATCAACTGGGCTTGTGAATCTACGGTTAGGAATGCAGATGCATCAGATCGTGATGAAGAGTGTGATCCCTGACGTTCCAATCCATAATTCTCTTATCACTATGTATTCGAGATGTGGCTATATAGTAGAGTCGAGGAGGATCTTCGATGAAATGAAACTTAGAAGGGAAGTGATCACATGGAATGCAATGATTGGAGGATATGCTTTTCATGGGAATGCTTCAGAGGCTTTGAATCTGTTCTGTTCAATGAAAAGCAACGGGATACGTCCTTCTCACATAACGTTTGTCTCGGTTTTGAACGCTTGTGCTCATGGTGGACTTGTTGATGAGGCTAAACGGCAGTTTGTGTCAATGGTTACTGATTACAAGATCGAGCCGCAGATGGAGCATTATTCTTCTTTGGTTGATGTAATCTGTCGACAAGGGCTGTTTGAGGAGGCTATGGAGGTTATAAAGAGTATGCCTTTTGAGGCAGATAAGACGGTGTGGGGTGCGTTGTTGGATGCTTGTAGGGTTTATAGCAATGTGAGGCTCGCTCATGTTGCGGCTGAGGCGATGTCGAGGCTTGAACCAGAGAGCTCGACACCGTATGTGCTGTTGTACAACATGTATGCGGATATGGGACTGTGGGACGAAGCTTCTCAAGTGAGATTGATGATGGAGAGTAAAAGAATCAAGAAGGAAAGAGGATCAAGTTGGGTTGACTCCTCAACGTAATATAAAAGCAGCGTTTTTTGTGTTCACAAAAGCATGAAGATGATTAGGATGGGAACTGAGAGGTGGCGGTGAAGTTTATGATCCCATTGGTCAGAAACTGATAAAGGTAATGTTGATGGTTCTTCTCTTCATCAATTTCGCTAACGTTGTAGTGTATTAAATTGGTTACATTGTCGATTTCTTTTAATTTGGCATTTTGTTTCTCTTATTTGCCCACCTAAACAGCTTTTTGGCATAACAAAGGTGAAACCTTGGAGGTCAATGATGTCCAAATGTAGTGAAGCTGCAAGAAGAAGCACGTGGAGGATAAAAACAGAGGAAAAAGAAGAAAAGACAGAATCTTAAGAAGACTCCTTCTCTGCCTACTACAGGACATAAGAGACGAAAGGGTATGATCGAGAAATAAGAGTTTGCATCAAAATCTATTTCTTTGTGGAAAAAAATTTGGGAAATGCTTTTGCATCAAATTTTTGGTTTCGATATAAAAGTGAAAAGCTTTGAAAGAGTCAAAAGTATTTAAAAAATTGAGTGGCCTCAGCGACGCCGTTTTTGGAAGCCCCACCACACAATTCTTGTTCGCTTCTCTCAGTTTTTTTTCAAGTTGTCAAAAAAATGTGTGTATTTTACAACCATTCAAATTACTGGTGGCTTCAAATTCACATCTTACATAGCTTCTGCTTAATCCAATTCCTTGGCCGCTCTTAAAAATTCTCTTATGAATTGCTGTATCTGAATTTGAAGTTTCTCAAAAGGGTAAGCCTTTTTGGTTCATATGATGATACATTATCTCGCCTTTTCATATTAGAAGAATTTAAATGATTCGAAATTCTGTAGTGAGATGGTCTTGTGCTTCTCTGGATAGTGATTAGGAGATTCTTGATACTTTCCAAAGATCAGAGCTTTTGATTTCGTTTCTTAGCTAATCTCCAAGTCATTTGAGTTTTTTTTCTACTTATCGAATCTTATTACCTAAATTAGTTGTGTTCTTTAAAGAAAAAGCTTCTCTCTTTTGCAGATTAGCGCGTTCCTTCATTGATATGGTTCAGAAATGTTAGCTGCGCATCCTTCAGGAACTATCAACAAATTCCAAATCTCTTTTAGCTGCAAAGCCACTTTGCGCGGATACACAACCGCGCCTTCAGGTCCTCTGATTACTAGTTGTTTTGCCTCTTCAAGATCAAGAGGTCCTTGGAGCAATGTGAAGTGTTATCATTCATCTTTCTCTCCAAAAAGCCAAATTCATCATCGTAGAAGATGGATGGTTAGTGACTTCTTTAAGCTCTCTGTTACAAGTTTTACATCTATATATTTATCTAGCTGCTTCTAAGGTGTTTGTATATGCTCTTTTGATTTCATCAAGTGTTGTCGTTCATCGATTTCACCGGATGATGAGTACCGTTCATCGGGCAACATAGCTATTAGTCTCTTAAGACGTTACAGGACAGTGATTGAACGCGGTCAAGGTGAAACTTTAAAAGTAACTTCTTCTTTCTTCCTTTCTCTAATGTCGCTTCATTCTCGCTTCTCGATCATATATATTCATCTTTTCAATGTTTTGTGTGTCTTGAAGGACTTCATTTCGGCTGGCGTGAATGCATACGCTCTCGGTTGCACAGATGAAGATTTGAGAAAAGAACTTGTAGCTATGAAAGAATCGGGTTTCGAGATCGAACAAACGGAGAGTTATCACGGAAGCACACAGACTAAATCCAATATTTTGCTCTCTGAGGTTAGTTAGTTAATTACTAAGAACTTTGTTAATGATATGCAGGGCCAAGTCTTATTGGATCTTCGCTCTGTCTTGTTACTTGTTAGGTAGATGAATGCATATTGTGGCTTAGCATTGTATTCATCACAATCTTGTGCACGCCGCAACCAACGGTCGTGAGATGGTCTTCGGCTCCTTCGGTCTCCGATGAGACTCTTAGCAAATGGAGAGGCTTTTGCGCGGTAATAGCCAATGCATACTATATCAGGGGAATGGCGTGGTAAAGATCAATAACTATTCAATATGGTTTTGGTTTTGTTTTAGTTTAGTTTCTGTTGTTCTGATTCATTTTCAAGATGAAAATGGAAAGTTTGTAAAGAGTGTGATTTTTACGAAAATGGCATTAGGCTGCCGGTGAAGACTCTTCAGATGGAGCAGATGGCGGTGACGGGACAAGCGGAGGAGCCATCGGTTGTGGCTAGCCGAATGAGACTGGTCTTTAGCACTCTCGAGGTCAGTCTCTTTATAAATAGATAAAGCGTTGAAATTTTAGGAGATAAAGATAAGAGTTTAACTTTACTACTTTAGTTGATGTTGTTGTCAATGATAGAATTTAATTTGATTCTTTGTGTATATTGTAGGTAGTGAGCCCTCAATGGCCACGGGTTTAAATATGATCTGCTAGATACGGTTTCAGTGTTAATAACAATAAAAATCTCTTTATTTTGTATATAGTTTGAGACGGACTTGAATATTCATACATTGAATTGATTAGACTTCAAATAGTTTGAGAGGTCCAGATAATATTTATCTGATAAACCAAACAAACCCAACGTAAAGATTATGCGATTTGTGAGCATATTTCTCTGATTTTTTCTTAACCTGAATTCAGTAGAAAGCATATCAAGTGATTAAATTCTCTGTTTTGGTTTTGAATGAAGAGATTAAGAAATAAATGAATTTGCTTTTTATTCAGTCTTGAGAAATGGGGAACAATAATTGTTAACTTTTTCACCATGCTTTACAAAACAGAGCATGTGTTATCAACATATAAATGTGTTATTACACTCACGTGTAGCTGTACTTTTTACATACAATGTATCACTGTTTGATTCAAAGAGAAATTGGGTAGAATAAATAGTTAGTGAAATTTACTTTACAGAGTTTGATCCATTTCTAATTGATGCGACTTGCTTCTTTCTCTTGAATCGCAAGTTCGCAACGTATCATTCCATTATTCACGTCCCTAAGAGCTGGATTTGGAGTAGAATTCAACACCGCATCCTTTGATCCTCTGGACTGAATATGTACCAGTTTCAGCAGGATTATATCTGTCGAGAGAAGCATACATATGGTAGTAAAACTCAAACTTTATGTCTGCCCGGTCCAATTCAGATGGACAATCAATTACTTCTTTTGTAGGGAACCGAGAGTGGAACATGAGCAGATGTTCCATATCACTCCGTTGATCCCTGTCAAAATGTAAACAATGCACGTCATATCTGCTGCCTCTGAAATAGCAGTATACCCCAACGCATGAAAACATGAACTCTGGGTCGTTCGGAGGCTCAATCACGACGCAAGCCTTAAATCCTAGAAACTCTTCAGAGAGATAGCTCTCAAGGAAAAGGATGGATAAGGAACTTCCACGAGCTCGATGTGTTAAAGACTTGGGCACTTTTCCACCTGGTAAGACCGCGTACTCGTAGTCTGATTGTAGGATGATTGTCTGCGCAGTTCCATACAAACTTCGGCAGTTGTCGAAGTTAAGACGAGCCTCTGGATTGGAGAAGAAGTCAGAGGTACCTCGGAAATTCTTGAAAACCTGTTCACATGTTAACAAGTCCCGTACGAGAAATCCACACACTAGTAATAATAACCAAACAAGACGAGAAGCATTAGCGAACCGTAGCATCAGATGAGTAATGGTGCGTGATATTCTTGTCAGCACACTTGCGTCACAAAACTCTTTGACTGAAGTGCCAGATAAGTTTACCACTTTTAGACATTTCAATCTAAAAATGTTTTGAGATACGTTACTTAACCTCCAGCAACCTCTCATCATGAGTGTAGAGAGCTCCGATAATTCCTCGATCCAAGAAGGAACATCTTCGACCGCTGTGTAGTCGAGATAGAGACTCTCGAGGCTCCTTGAAATCCGAGGAAAACATCTCAACTTGTGGCACCCAATGAGAGAGAGAAACTTGAGAGATTTCAGGTCCACGTCGGTTGGAAGAGCCTGGAGCCTTAAACATTTCTCCATGCTCAACTCAACCAGCTTATCGAGACTCTGAATTGAAGAAGGAACCGTCACCAAACTAAAACAATCATCAAGATACAACTTCTCGAGATTGGTAACCTTTGAAAGATTCGGAAATTCAGACAAGTTTTCAGATCCTGACAGTGACAACTCCTTGAGATTTCCAAGAGACTGAAACAAAAGAAAAGAAACAAGAGAAAACTGAGGCACCTCTATGAACAATAATCCTCTACAACAATGAGTTGACAGAATAAGTAGTAGTACCTGGGCTCCTTCCCATAACTTCTCAAGATTGCTATATCTCATCGACAGATAAACCAGATATTCTGGACGAAAGTAAGCAGGCATACATCTCAGTGGACAATACTCCCAAACGAGATCAGTGAGCCTAGACATGTTCTCTACCCAAAACGAACTTTCTTCTTCTATCGAATCTCGACCTAGATAAAGCTTTGAAATGTTCCGTGAAATCTGAGGAAAGTTTCTCAACCGAGAGCATTCCTGGAGATTGAGTTGTTCGAGAGATTCCAAGTTGACATCAGTTGGAAGAGACTCGAGCTTTGAGCATCTCCCCATATCTAACGCCCTAAGTTTACCGAGATTCCGTATCGAGGAAGGAAGTGTCACCAGAGATTTGCAGCTGGAAAGATCCATTTCCTCGAGGTTTATGGCATAAGAAAGATCCGGGATATCTTTCAGTTCTTCGGAACAGAACAGATTCATCTTCCTGAGACTTTCAAGCCGCTGAAAAACGAAACATGAGAGACACAACACAATGCACGCATTCAGTAAGTAAACAAATCATTTGTCAGTCAGTTTGTTTCTTAACAACTCCATAGTAGTTTACCTGAGTTCCTTCCCAAAGCCTCTCAAGCTTGCTATATCTCATCGTCAGCTCAACAAGATACTCGGCCTTGAAGTTATAAGGCATACACCTCAACGGGCATTTATGCCAATACAGTATTCTGAGTTTCCGTGACAAACAAGCTAGGCCATTAGGTATACGCAATATGCCTTCACCACTCCCCCAGGAGGAATCGTAGAGTTCTAGAAACCGGAGATTACGCATCCCTTGGAACGACTCTTCATCTATAAGCAACGGCTCCTTGATTTCTGATGTGTTCAAACGTATGCCTAGTACTGTTTCTGTGCCCTGAAAACATAAAATTACAACAGTTTATAGTACCTTGCTTAAATGAATACAGTAATGAAAAGAGTATGTAAGAGCTTACGGTATTATCGGTGAATACATCACAAATATCCTCAGCACCCACCAAGAACCGGCGTTTTCCAGGATTAAAAGAAGACTCTGCACGACTGATCATTTTACCCAAATTTTGGAGCAAACTGTGCATCTCTACAACTTCGAACACTGATGATATACGTATGAGGGACTTATCAGCCAGCATTTTCAACCCAGCCTTCACGCTATCTCCGATCACGTCTCTGATGTAGTTGACGTCACGGCCATTGAGTAAACACGCAATGTAAAGGAACAGTTCTTGATCTTTGACATCTAACGCATCGTAGCTGACTCTCAACGTTTTCTCGATTTTCCCATCCAAACGATCACGGAGCCTAGGCATCATCTCCAACCACTCTTCCTTGTCCATCCCTCCCAAAGACGAACCTATGATGTTGAGACCCAAAGGGAGACTACCAGCAAGCTCTGTGATCTCAACTGCCAGCTCACCGAAACCGTCAGGTGGAGAGTCGAGACCAAAGGCAGATCGACATAACATTTGAAGAGCTAGATCTCTCGATGGGAACTTCACCTCGTAAACAGTGTCAATCTTGTGACACCTGAGAAGTAGCCTATCTTTAGTGGTCACGATGATTCTGCTTCCAGGTCCAAACCATCCGGGTCGTCCAGCCAAAGTCCTTAACAGCTCTACGTCATCCACATCATCAAGAACGATGAGAACTTTCTTGCGCTTTAGCCTTTGTTTCACCGCACCTGGTTGGGTTATCTTCAGGTCCTCTCGATCAAGAATTTGTGACAGAAGTTGTTTCTCCCAACTCAGCTTCATGCCATAGTTGTCCCTGTTGCTTATCTCAAAAGCCATGAAAGCGTGATATGGGAACTGGCTGGAGAGTTTGTTGTACAAAGCTCTAGCTATTGTAGTCTTACCAATCCCTGAAGCTCCCAAAATCCCAACCATTCTTACTTCTTTAGATTCCATGCACAAGATCGAACTCATTGCGTCTATATGAGATTCAATCCCAACAAATTCCCCAAGACAATCCGATTGTTTGATAAGTTTATCTAAAATATCCTTAGCGATATCTTCAATCATGACTGCTTCGTTACTCCTGAAAAAAAATCAGTAAATAGTCAACACCCTTAAAACAGAAAAAAAAAATTGGAGTCTAATGCAACGAAAATCTAAACAACATACCAATTCTGAGAATCATGTCCTGCAAGACTTGCTATATGGGCAAGAGCTTCAATCCACTCTTGTGTCACGTCTTCTGACTTGCCCTGGCAGGTCTCTTGAAAGATGTTGCCAAAGTCTCCGGTTTGATTTCTAACATCAGAAGTATCAAACTTGGTAGAAAATGGGTATCACCATCTGATGAAACTCCTTGTAACACTTGTGGATCTCTAGCAATTCATTCAAGCACCACGTGGAAGAAGCGTACTTCTCAGAGAACACAACGACTGAGATGGTCGATCCTCTGATCGACGATAAAAGTTCGGGCCCGATCGGGCGGCTTCTCTCGATGTTGTTGTCGATGAATGTATCGATTGATTTGCGGTGAAGTTTCTCGAGAAGGTGGCTGAGGAAGGATATACGGACATCTTTCCCGCTGAAGCTCGGGAAAACATCGTATGTACAGGTGCGAGAGGAAGACGAAGAAGATGAAGACGCCATGAACATAGATAGATGATTGAGGGAAGCAACAACAAAAGAACATAAATTTGAAGAAGGGAACAACTCTGACAATGCAGTTATTAAATATCATTTACTCGAAGAACTCTTCTTCTTTGATATTTAACTACTGCATAGTCAGAGTCACGTAGTTTCCAAGTATCCGGAGAAAGTTTCCACTCAAACCGCAAAAGTAAAATGTTGATCTGAATTGAACAATAGGTCAACATTAGAAGGAAAAAAAAAACAACAACATCGTAGTCTACATCTCCTATGGTACTCTGTCTTTAACAAATCTCTACCATAATATTAAGAAGTGCAAACAATGGAAAAGGTACTAATCTCAATGCAAAGAAGACAAACCTTAAGATTGTCCTCCCCATCTTTGAGACTAGATCCACCTGGAAACTTGAAATTCCAATCATGCACTAACTCGTTCACAATGAGCTCATTCTCTTTTGAAACCTCATCCACAGTGTTATTACTGACTCTAGAGGATCCAGATGAGGGTGGAGTATCATCCTTAAATAAAGAATTTTGATCCTTCAACACCTAGAAATGAAGTCACAAATGTAACTTTCCAGGGAACGTGTTATTAGCTGGCAATTCAGGTAATTGTTCATCAGCCTGTAATGTTACTTGCAATAACTACAAAACTGAGATGATCTTAAGAAAATGACAGTAGTACTAGTACATATTGCCGATTACTCAACGGTTAGATTTTTAAAGATCTAAACTAAAAGACAAAAAAAGTTGAATTATTTTAGGAGAAAAAGAGCTCAATGGCCACAGATTAGACTTCCAAAATCTTTTTATTTTGTTCCTTGAAAATTCTATTCGCCATTTTAAAAAAAAAAATATTTTGTTAATTCAATATTGTTAGGGAATAAAACATAACAAAATGGCCTAGACTTTTACAGTGTTAAATACGTTTGATAACATATTTGAACATGGCTTACTAATGTGATCTGATATATTACCAACCAAACTCAACGTAAAGATTGTGCGATTTGAGAGAACCATTTCTATACACAAACATTAAAACTGATTTCCATATATTAGTATGATACAACGAGAGCTTATGGTGGCTATATATTTCCGGTGAACATACATAAGGTATAACACAATAACACATGAAGACGATCATGGGATTAAACATATAATAGTATATAACATATTTGCATCACTCTATATAATTTAACTTCCGACGCCATTGAAAGTGACATTACCGCTGCCACTGCCGCTGCCACTACCACTGCCACTCGAGCTACCGTTGATACTACCACCACCTCCACCACCGCCACCACCACCTCCGCCACCACTTGTATAGATATACACGCCAGGACCAATAACGGTTCCACTGCCGCTGCTACTACCACTTCCGCTTCCACTGCTGCTAGCACTGTTACTACCAGGGACACCACCACCACCTCCACCGCCGCCGCTACCACCTCCACTTGCCATATACGTTCCGTCATTACTTACACTACCGTTACCGTAACCACTACCATATCCGTTACCAAAAGCACCGAAGTCACCACTACCTCCACCGCCAGCGCCACCACCGCCACCACCTCCACCTCCACCTCCAACAGTTATGCCTCCGGGACAGTTGCTGCGTCCACTCCCATCTCCGTTTGCATGTCCGTCGTCGCTTGCAGTGTTATTGCTTCCACTGATGGCAACTCTTGCACCGCCACCTCCGCTGCCACCAGCGGAACAAAGAGGCGGAGTATATAGTTTTTCAGCCGTCAATAACTTAGTAGATTTGGGCACTCCTCGGAGTTGCCTTGCGCCGACATCGGAACACACAACTCCAATAAACACCAACGCAAGAAAGTTAGTGATTTTCATATTGATCTTTCAGAAATATAGACTTGTGTATCAGTGTATGTACATGTGTGTAGTAAGTTTGTTCTCCCAAAACCATCGGCTATATACGGTTACACGACACACATTTACATATAGTTTAACACGTGTGAGTATATGTTAATTTGTTACATACGTTAATTATTAAGTAAATGCGAAATAGATTTGAATTTAATTGGTTATCTGAATCACTTGAAAACATATAACCTGACGTATTGGTAATTTGGTATAATCAACATCTTATGGGGGTGGCAAATGAGACAGTAGTAGTATTCGTGTTTCTTATTCGTTATGTTCTCACATATGAATAACTATACCGTGTGTAGTAGTTAGTCCGTAAACATATGTATTATTTTGGATATCATTTCACAGGAGTTAATATAATTCTCTGGTGTGAGTAAAAAGAATCTAAAAAGAAAGTTATATTTTTTCACGATACTGAACACTCTTACGTTTAGCTAATTAAATGGTTGATAGTCACATAAAAAGCCTAGGACAATTTAGAAACCTGAAGTCTTAAAACCTGATAACGTTTTAAGTTTTATAGTTGAGATCGGTTTTGAACACGTGTTTATACTTTACACCATGCATGATTTAATATGACATCTTGGTAAGACTGTTAGTTATGGGTTAAAATATTAATCAATGCATTGAAGTAATTTATTTATCTTATAAGAAATGTTCACGTTTCCTAAGACATACATGTGTGTACTTATAGTGGCTACAATGTGGGACGAACACAGCACAATACAACACAAATCACCACACACAAAAAAAAAAAATCTTTACATTAGAATTAAATTAGGAGAAAAAAAAGAGATAAAACGAAAATGAATGCCACAAAGTTTGTTGTGCTTCTGATCTTGATAGGAGTTGTGTGTGCCAACGTTGGCGCAAGGCAGCTCCAAGAAGTGCCCAAAGACACCAAACTAGACATCTCTGTTCCCAAAACTGCCAATACTAACGGCGTTGGATCTCAGCTTTCTTTTGTTTTTGCTTACAGTGACGCTTACAGTGAAGGCCTAGGCACGGCTACCGCTGATGCGGGTCCTGGACGTCCCGGCGCAGGTGCATCTGGAAGTGGGAGTGCAGGTACCAGAGGATATGTCCTTGCGGAGGGTCCCCGCGCAACCGCATTTTCTGGGAGTAGGGCTGATAGTCAAGGCCGTGGTATTGCTTCAGCTAATCGTGGTGGTGCAGCCGCCGAGGGAGCTGGTAACGGAAGTGCCAATACAACTACGGGTGGCAGCGCCGGCCCTTGAGCGGTTTGTTGATCATGATCAAGTCTTTGCACATATTGGACTAATAATACTATACAAAACCAACAATCTCCTTTGTATTCATAAATAAAGCTAGGGATTGTTACCTTTATTAATTATGATGAAATGCTATTCTCTTTATGTGTAAGTGTAATGTCTATTGTATATGATGAAATAGATGTGATTATAACGACCTAATCAATCTTTCCTTGAATAGAGCATTGCCTTTTATTTAAAGATTAATTGTCTGTTTTCTTGAAGAAAAAACTATCTTTGTAAGCTTAAGGAAAGTATCTTACACAAAACATGAATTTTTGGACTAAATATTAACACTAAAAAAAATGGTATGTTCTCTACAAAAAAAAAATGATTAACAAATGTATCATCTGCCTACTAAATAAAGTATTTGAAAATTAAATCATATTTTACTGTATATACCTAGTAAATAGAATGAGTAAATAAAAATAAAAATACAGCTTTATACCTTTTTATTCTTCCATAATCGTGCTATATATTTTATATGCAATTACAAAATTCTTGTTTTTATAAAATATAGATTTTGAATATCTCATGATTAATGTTCATGAAATATCAGACTGCGTTTGAAAACTAAATAAACTAAAGTCTTATACCAATAAAATTTTATAAGCAAATATCTCAATGTTTTTACATATACTGAAGGGGTCTAAGAACATAACTGTTAACTGAATCATTCCTCTGTAACCTAATAATTTTGAACGTTGATCATGAAAAACTTTTCGCATTATCATATTTTCAACGTTGAACTAATAGTCCTAGTAGCTTTTGATCAATACTATTAATTATGATGAAATTAAATGCTACTCTTTTTTATGTGTAAACTCTATTGTCTATGAAAGAAATGTCATTATTAGTTTATTACGATCTAATTAATCTTTGCGAATAATAAAGATGTATCTATGTGTCTTCATGGTGAACTATGACCAAATATTCGTACGACCTTGCTTTTTAAATAATAATTAGTATTGATCTAAACGTCGGTGTTTAAGTTGTTACCTGACAGCTTTACTCATAAGAAGAGACATCTACAAATGTATCATCTGCCTATGAAAATACCATTTGACTGAAAATAAAAAATACTATGTATTATCAATTATGTACCTACTAAATACAGTAAGTAAAAAAAAATATAGATTTTTGAATTTCCATAATTTAATCTTCCATAAATTATGCTAAATATCATATATTAAATTATATATCTGAAATATCACATGATTTAATGTTCATGAAATTAGAGGGCTCAGCCACGCCGGATACCGAACTGGATAACGGTTAATTAAAGTCTTATATCAATAAAAAACATTGAGCAAAAATATTTAATTCGACTAAATATCTCAATTTTACATATAATGAAGGCATCTAAGAACATAACTGTTAACTCAATCGTTCCACTTGTTACTTATTAATTTTGAATTGAAAGACATGTACACTCACTCACGCATAATTATTTTATATATCAAGTCCGAAGCAAGCAAGCAAACAAAACCAAACTTAGTTCTTTCACGATAGTGATCAAGTAATCTCACATTGGAGAAGTTAATTAAATACTTGATAGTTACATAAATGACGAGTCAATTTAGAAACCTATAGTTCAACGTTCAAAATATGATAATGCGAAAAGTTTTACAATTGATGAGGTCGGCTTTGTACATTTTGACAAGACTATTAGTTGTAATTTTACTAGTGCATTTAAGTATGTATTTCTCTTGCAAGAAATGCTCACGTATCCTAATAAATACATTTACATGTGTGCGTGCGTGTGTGTATATATAAAGGCTATGAAGTAGGAAGAAGAACACACCACGACTCATCACAAAAACACAATAACATCTTAACAAGAAATAATTTACTTTTTTGAAAAGATGAATGCCACAAAGTTTGTTGTGCTTCTCTTCATTGGAGTTGTCTGTACCACTGCAAATGTTGGCGCAAGGAAGCTCGAAGAAGTCCCCAAAGAGGCCAAACTAGGCATCTCTATTCCCGAAACTGCCACTACCAATAGTGTTGGAACTCAGCTTTCCGTTTCTATCGGTAATTACGTCGGGGGACAAGGCTATAGCAACTCTAACGCTGATAACGGTGCTGGCGGTGCCAGCAGCAGTACATCCAACGCCGGCTCTGGCTATAGCAGCGGATATCTCCTTGCCGATGGTACCAACGAGAATGCTTATTTAGGAGCCAGTGCTGGCGGTCAAGGAAATAGTAATGCTGAAGCAGGAGCCGGTGGTGCCGCCTCCGGTGGATACGGCTCTGGATATGGCAGCAACTATGGGGGAGGACAAACCACCAGCCCTTGAGCTTAAGCTGTGATCATGATCACCTCATTGCTCCGCGTATATATTAATACTCTACAAACTCAACTCTAAATCTCTTTTGTATTCATAAATAAAACCAGAGATTGCCACTTTTAAATTATTATTATGAAATGGTAATACCCTTTGAGTGTAATATATGTTGCTAAATCAAATAAAATGCAATAATTACGTATATAAATTATTAGTCCTCTTGATCAATATAACTATGTTCATGGTCACCGCTCAACAACAATATATACAGTCCAATGTTTTCTTAAAAAGATAAAAAGAAAAGAAAAAAATACCTCTTCGATCATGGGGGATAACTCTCCAAAACGTAAAGTCTTTGTAGGTTCCTAAATCACAGAGACTGTATACTTAAGAAATTTCAAATTAACCTAGAAGTCCATAAAAGTTTAGAAGCTTAAGTTTGTCGACCCAAGTAAGGTGGCCGAGCAGGGAAGTTGTGGTTCAAGTAGAACATGTCGCCGATCCTAGAGTGGGATTTGGTTCGAGATGGACTGAAAGAGCTATTATTTCCACACCAAAAAAAAAAAAAAAAAAAAAAAAAAAAAAAGAGAGTGACATCGTCCAAAATGTTTTACAATCAATCTTGTCAACCTCCATATTCATTGCCATGTAGTGTAGTAAAAAATTCATGATTTATCCAAATAATCGTTCTGATGATCATGTTTAAGATTATGTAGTATGATTCATGTTAGTTTTTTAGGTTTGGAATTGATGATTAAAATAAAAATTAAATGTACTGCTGTCTGACAGGTTTCATATTGAAACACATCTTCGAATTATGTGTTTATGAAGATTCATAGAGATGACATAGATCAACAAAAACCGTATATATCAACCTTGAGAAGATTTATACCGTATCTGTGAGAATACTGTAATCATTCTCTTTTGTCTAATTTATAGCAACAATACATTACACACAAAGGGTAGTAGCATTTCATAAGGATAATTTTTAAAAAGTGACAATCTCATGTTTTATTTATGAATACATAAGAGATTGTGAGTTTATTAATATATATACGCGGAGCAATCAGCTGGATCACATCTCAAGCTCAAGGAATGGTGGTTCCACTCCCAGAGCTGCTGCCAAATCCAGAGCCGAATCCTTGGGAGGAAGCACCATTGTCTGCTTCAACTTCAGGGACAGGTAATGGCGACGGCGGAGTTGGTACTGGTAGTGGCGGCGGCGGAGGAGATAGTATCGGTATTGGAAGCTCCGGTATCGGTACTAGCGGAGGAAGCTCAAGGGGCTTGTGATCTATCAATTCATTGGAAACTTTATCCAGCGGCCTTGCGCCTACATTGGAAGAAACAACTCCAATGAACAAGACCATCACAAGAAATTTAGTGGCCATATTCATTCTTTTATTTTTATTTTATAATTTGTTTCTAAGATGTTTTTGTGTGTTTGTGGTGAGTTTGTGTTTCCCTATCATAGCTTATATATAGTGTCACACGTAGACATTGTTACGTACTGTGAAATAAATAAATGCGAAAGGGATTTGGTTTAAATTAGAAGTCTGAGTTACTTGAAAGTATTTAACCTGACGTATTGGTATAAGTTTCAGTTTGACATCTTAGAGTGACAGTGTGTGTAAATAGTATTTGGTGTTTTCTTACGTAATGTTCTCAAATTGGATAAATCCGTCAGTCAGGCCATTAAAACAAGAAATTGCGGCAATCATACATGAAAGAAAAAAACTGTTAAATCGGCAATCTATTTGCTTAGAATCTATATCAGTATTTAACTTTCACTTCAAAATAATTAAATTATATGTGGCTTTAGAATGTGAAATACTACTGAAATTTTAAAGCCCACTAACAAGACAGTACGGGAGTTAAAAAAAAATATATATATAGCACAACGACGGGAATGGTGCCACCGCCGAGGGAACTGGTAACGGAAGTGCCAGCACAACTACGTGTGGCAGCGCCGGCCCTTAAGCGGTTTGTTGATCATATTGGACTAATACTATACAAAACCAACAATCTCCTTTGCTAGAGATTGTTACCTTTATTTAATTATGATGAAATGATGTACTCTTTATTGATAATGTCTATTGTATATAATGAAACAGATGTGATTATTACGATATATTTAATATTTTCTTTAATAAAGCATTCCTTTTTATTTAAGATTAATTGTCTGTTTTCTTGAAGAAAAAAACTATCCTTTGCAAGCTTAAGGAAAGTATCCTTTACACAAAACATGAACTTTTGGACTAAATATTAACATTAAAAAAAAACAAAACTTAAAAAAACAGTAAATCGATTATCTAAATCATTTTTAGTATGTTCTCTACCAAAAAATTGATCTTCAAATGAATCATCTGCCTACTAAATAAACCGTCTTTGAAAATTAAACATATTTGATTGTATACAGAATGCGTTAAAAAAAAATACAGCTTTATACCTTTTAATTCTTCAATAAATTAATTTTCCATAAATTTTGCTAAATATCCTGTATGAAAATTACGAAATTTCTTGTATATAAAATATAGAATTTAAATATTTCATGATTTAATGTTCATAAATATCAGACTGCATTTGAAAACTAGGTAAAATAAAGTCTTGTACCAATACAAATTTATAAGCAAATATCTCAATGTGTTTACCTATACTAAAGGGGTCTAAGAAGTAAGAACATAATTGTGAACTGAATCATTGCTCTTGTAACCTAATACTTTTGAATTAAAAGACATGTACACTCACGCATAAAAGTTTTCGATATCAACTCCGAAATCATTTTATTTCAAGTAAGCAAACAAAACCAAACAAATCGAAACATTTAATTTTAAATCTCAATTATATGACTTAATGCAGTTATCCAGCGTCAGTGCAAAGAATCTGAAAACAAATTACAAATCTGTATATCACGATACTGATCAAGTACTCGTAGTCTCGTACGTACGTTGGACAAGTAATCAATTAAATACTTGATATTTACATAAATGAAAAGACAATTTAGAGACTTATAGTTTTAAACTTTCAAAATACGATAATGCTAAACTAAATACATGTATTGAAGCACATGTATTTCTCTTGCAAGAAATGCTTGATATTTAGTTTTGTACATTTTGGTACGTAATACAGTTAGTTGTAATTTTACTATTGCATTCAAGATTTCAAGTGCATGTATTTCTCTTGCAAGAAATGCTCACGAATCCTAATAAATACAAATGTATCGACATGTGCATGCATGTGTGTGTATATTAGTATATATAAAGGCTATGGTGTAGGAAGAAGAACACACCACAACTCACAACAAAAACACAAAAACATCTTAACTATAAATAATTTACTCTTCAAAAAGATGAATGCCACAAAGTTCGTTGTGATTCTCTTCATTGGAGTTGTGTGTGCCAATGTTGGCGCAAGGAAGCTCGAAGAAGTTCCCAAAGAGGCCAAACTAGGCATCTCTAATCCCGAAACTGCAACTACCAACGGCGTTGGAACTCAGCTTTACGTTGCTATCGCTGGTCGTGGTTACGGAGGCGGAAGTAGCTACTCTGAAGCTGATAACGGTCGTGGCCGTTCCAGGGCCCGTACATCCTCAGGTGGCTTCGGAAGTGGCGAAGGATCTATCGTTGCCAGTGGTAACAACGCAAACGCTTATTTAGGTAACTATGGTACCGGTCAAGGCGATACTAGAGCTGAAGCGGGAGACGGTGGTGCCACCACCAGTGGAACCGGCATTGGATATGGCGACAGCTATGGGAGTGGAAGCAGCAGCAGCCCTTGAGCTTGAGCTGTGATCATGATAGCTCTCATTGCTCCGCGTATATAATAATACTCTACAAACTAAACTCACAATCTCTTTTGTATTCATAAATAAAACCAGAGATTGTCGCTTTTAAGTTATTATTATGAAATGTTAATACCCTTTGTGTGTTGTGTAATCTATATTGCTAAATAAAATAAAATGCTATAGTCGTGTATATTTTATTTGTCCTCTTGTTTAGTATACTTATGTTTGACAACAAATTATACAGTCCACTGTTTTTCGTTTCTTTTCTTTTATAACAGAAAAAGAAAACAAAGACTCCCCTCTTAGATCATGGGATTCAACTCTCTAAACCTGAAGTCGTTGTAGATATTAGTCCTAGTATCTTTTGATCAATATTATTTATGATGAAATTAAATGCTACTTTTTTTATATGTGTAAAGTCTATCGTAAATGAAGTATTATTGATCAAAACGTCGCTGTACTTAATTAAGTTGCTACCTAACAGCTTCACTCATGCGAAAACCAACAATCTCCTTTGTACTCATAAATAAAGCTAGAGATTGTTACCTTTATTAATTATGATGAAATGATGTACTCTTTATTTGTAATGTCTATTGTATATGATGAAACAGATGTGATTGTTGTGACCTAATTATTTTTTCATTTAATAAAGCATTGCCTTTTATGTAAGATTAGTTATCTGTGTTGTAGAAAAAAATTATCCTTTGCAAGCTTAAGGAAAGTATCTTCTACACAAAACATGAATTTTTGGACTAAATATTAACATTAAAAAAAAAACTAAAAAATAGTACATCGATTACTTAAATTATTTTTGGTATGTTCTCTACAAAAAAAACTTGATCAACAAATGTATCATCTGCCTACTAAATAAAAGTCTTTGAAAATTAAAATATAATTTCCTGTTTATACCTTTTAAATAGAATGAGTAAATAAAAAGAAAAATACAGCTTTACGGCTTTATACCTTTTTTATTCTTTTATAAGTTAGTGTTCCAAAAATCGTGTTATATCCTATATGAAATTACGAAATTTTATTGTTTTATAAAATATAGAATTTAAATATTTCTGATTTAATGTTCATGAAATATTAGACTACATTTGGAAACTAGGTAAACTAAAGTCTTATACCAATAAAATTTTAGAAGCAAATATCTCAATGAGGGAGCTAAGAACATTTCCCTCCGTTTCAAATTAGTTGTCCTAAAAAACACATCCAGATGAATCCAAATAACTGCAGATACATTTTCCCAAAACGACAACTAATTTGAGACGGAGGGAGTACTTGTTAACTGAATCATTTCTCTTGTTACCTAATAATTTTGAATTAGAAAACATGTACACTCTCAAGAACGAAGATCACGAAGGGAGACAATCTCGCACAAAGTGCACATGATCTCATTCACGATGTGTATTACATAAATTTTGTTCCGCCAATTTGACCATGCGAACCACTCTAGAAACATAAGCTGTCGACAAAAAAAAAATACATGCATGTACACTCACGCATAAAAGTTTTCTATATCAACTCTGAAATCATTTAACTTCAAGCAAACAAAACCAAAAAAAAATTAAATCATTCAATTTTAAATCTCAATTATCTGAATTAATGTAGTTATCCAGCGTCGGTGCAAAAAATCTAAAAAGAAATTACAAATCTGTATATCGATCAAGTACTCTTACGTTGGACAAGTATGACAAGATAAACTTTCAAATACGATAATGCTAAACTAGATACATGTATTTAAGCACATGTATTTCTCTTGCAAGAAATGCTTAATATTTAGTTTTGTACATTTTGGTACGTAAGACAGTTTGTTGTAATTTTACTATTGCATTCAAGTACATGTATTTCTCTTGCAAGAAATGCTCACGTATGCTAATAAATAAAAATGTGTCGACATGTGCATGCATGTGTGTGTATATATAAAGGCTATGGTGTTGGAAGAAGAACACACCACAACTCACAACAAAAACACAAAAACATCTTAACTAGAAATAATATACTTTTCAAAAAGATGAATGCCACAAAGTTTGTTGTGATTCTCTTCATTGGAGTTGTGTGTGCCAATGTTGGCGCAAGGCAGCTCGAAGAAGTCCCCAAAGAGGCCAAATTAGGCATCTCTATTCCCAAAACTGCAACTACCAACGGCGTTGGTACTCAGCTTTACGTTGCTATCGCTGGTAGGGGCTACGGAGGCGGAAGTAGCTACTCTGAAGCTGATAACGGTCGTGGCGGTGCCAGGGCCCGTACATCCGCGGGTGGCTTCGGAAGTGGCGAAGGATCTATCGTTGCCAGTGGTAACAACGCAAACGCTTATTTAGGTAACTATGGTACCGGTCAAGGCGATACTAGAGCTGAAGCGGGAGACGGTGGTGCCACCACCGGTGGAAACGGCTTTGGATATGGCGACAGCTTTGGGAGTGGAAGCAGCAGCAGCAGCCCTTGAGCTTGAGCTGTGATCATGATAGCTCATTGCACCGCGTATATATTAATATACTCTACAAACTAAACTCACAATCTCTCTTGTATTCATAAATAAAACCAGAGATTGTCACTTTTAAGATATTATTATGAAATGTTAATATCCTTTGTGTGTAATATATATACTGCTAAATAAAATAAAATGCCATAATTACGTGTATATTTTATTTGTCCTCTTGTACTTATGTTTGATCATGGTCATCGCTCGACAACAAATTATACAGTCCAATGGGTTTTTTTCTTTTCTTTTATAACAGAAAAAGAAAACCAAAAAACCAAAAAAAATAAAAAGAAAACAAAGACTCCCCTCTTAGATCATGGGATTGAAGTCTCCACAACCTGAAGTCTTTGTTTATGATGAAATTAAATGCTACTCTTTTTTATGTGTAAAGTCTATTGTATATCAGTATATGAAAATAAATGTGATTATTAATTACGATCTAATTAGTATTTTCGAATAATAAAGATGTATGTGTGTGTCAATGTGTTATGTGTGTTCATAGTGACCTATGAGGCTATGACCAAATATAATTCAGTACGACCTTGTTTCGTTCATGTCTTTTTAAATCATCATTATTAATTTGATCAAAACGTCGCTGTACTTAAGTTGCTACCTAACAGCTTCACTCATGCGAAATTATATCTTATTTCACACTTTGATGCACTGCGACGTCAACATGCATTGCGATTTATTGTTCTCTGATGAAGATCACAACAAATCATACAAAAGTTATTATCATTTGAAAGCTTAATTAGAGTATCCTCCACGAAAAGTATTTTAGGACTAAACATTATATCGTTGAAGATTTAATTCTCTTTTATTTAATTTATAGCAACAATACATTACACACAGAGGCAGTATCATTTCATAATAATAATTTTAAAAAGTGACAATCTCAAGTTTTATTTATAAACACAAAAGAGACTGTGAGTTGAGTTCGTAGAGTATTAAATCTATAACGCGGAGCAATGAACATGATCACATCTCAAGCTCAAGGGCTGCTGCTGCTTCCACTCCCATAGTTAGTGCCACTTCCAAAGCCGGATCCTTGGGAGAAGGCACCATTGTCTCCCACTTCAGCACCACTACTGCCTCCACCGTTAGCATAGCCTTGTAAATAAGCGTCTGCGTTGTTACCTTCGGAAATGATAGATCCGCTGCTACCTCCGTATCCATTTGCGTCTGTACCGCTGCTGGAACCGCCAGGACCTCCATCAGCGATAGAGGTGCTATAGCCTTGTCCGTAGACAGAATCACCGATACTAACCCAAAGTTGAGTTCCAATGCCATTGGTAGTTGCAGTTTTGGGAACGGAGATGGCTAGTTCGGACACTAGTCCTTTAGTGGCAGAGGCTGCTCCAACTCCAGGGACGGGTACTGGTAATGACATCGGCGGAGTTGGTACTGGTAATGACGTCGGCGGAGTACTTGGTATCGGTATTGGAAGCTCCGGTATGGGTACTAGCGGAGTTAGCGCAAGGGGCTTGTGATCTATCGATTCTTTGGACACTTTATCGAGCGGCCTTGCGTCTACATTGGAAGAAACAACTCCGATGAACAAGACCATCACAAGGAACTTAGTGGCCATATTTGTTTTTTGTTAATTTGTTTCTAAGATGTTATTGTGTGTTTGTGGTGAGTTTGTGTTTCCACTATCATAGGCTATATATAGTGTCACGCAGAGAGACATTGTTACGTATGTTTTGGAACGTACTGTGAAATAAATAAATGCGAGAGTGAGTTGGTTTAAATTAGATGTCTGAGTTATTTGAAAGTATTTAACCTGACGTATTGGTAATTAAAATTTTCAGTTTAACATCTTATAGTGACAGTGTGTAAATAGGATTTGGTGTTTTCTTACGTAATGTTCTCAAACTGGATAAATCCGTCAGTCAGGCCATTTAAACAAGAAAATTGTGGCAATCGTAAATGAAGAAAAAAAAACTATTAAATCGGGCAGTCTATATGCTCAGAATCTACATCAGTAATTTAAATTTCATCTCAAAATAATTAATTAGATTTTTTCTTTTCATCTAGAATTATATTAGAACGTCAACCAAACCACAGAGCCGGCGGATACCAGAAAATCCCCGGAAGACAAGCCCAAGAGAGGGAAACTACGCTCCAAACAACCGGAGAGGAAAAGACATAACACTACCACATAAACAAACCCAAACGCATTGGAGCTAAGGATTAAAAAGAAGGAGACACTAAGGGAATAAAAACGAAGCACAGCACCCAACTCAAACTAAAACAGAAACCAGAACGAGATTCAAGCTTCTGGAGAACCTTCATAGAACCCTTACCGAAGAAGCCTTACCTGAAGAAACACAAACTACCTATCAACTCTCAACACTAGCCTTCCCAATCGCCAAATAGTACAAACTGGCAGAAGCACTCAATGCAGAAGAGCTCTCGAACAGACAAAAGATAGCGACAGGGAGCAAGCAACGGATACACCAAACACCTTACCACCACCGAAGAAACTTTCCACTCAACAAACCTGTCTTCATAACCCGGCCACAGAACTGACTCCCGGATACGGCGATGTCGGAAACGACGGAGACTCGCCTCGATAGAAGCACCAGAGAAGAGATGAGCTCTCGAACAGAAAGGAAAGCAACAACAAGGAACCCACCAGACGAACGGGAAGGATCGAAACAGAGGGGAACCCAAACCAAGTGAAAGTCCCAGAAGCAAAACGAAACACGAACGGCGGCTGCTATAGAGACTGAGAGGGCGAAAAACCAAATCTAGGGCGAGACCTCATGGCTGAGAGAAGATAGAGGGAAATAGCAGCGACGCTAAACCGAAGAACAACCAGAACCGGAACCACTATCCTCTGAAACACCTAAAGCTGACCAGATTGGAGGATTAAACCCATTAAAGCTTCACACCCAAGCAAACCAAGCGCAGAACAAGATAAACTACTGAAACCAAACAACATACTAACCGGAACCAGAGATCTTCAAAAACCTTTCAAATCCGGAACAAAACAAATTCTAGATCTAGATCTAGAATCTAATCTGTTCTCACCGTAAAAGAGAAAGGCTAAAGAAAGAAGGTCTAAACCAACTAAACCACAAAGCTAAGAAACAGAACAAGAGAGCCCTGACGCCGTGTGGCTGTGGAAGCCCACCGGCGCCGGCCAAAAGAGGAGCCGCAGGAAGACGACGAAGAGAGAAGGGACAGGAAAAGGTTTTTAGAGAGAGAAAGTCTTTTTTAGGAAAAATTAATGTTTTGAAAATAATTAATTAGTTATCTATGCCTTTTGTTTTATTATTGTATATGGCTTCAAAATGTGAAATACTACTACTGTCAAAAAGTGTGTTGACCCAATAGTACACCGATTAAGGGTCTGACTGGTTTAACCGCTGCGGTTGCGGTTGCGGGAGTTTGCGGCTGCGGGAGTTTGCGGAAGCGGGAGTTTGCGATTAAAAGCTGTTTGTACGACTGGTATAGCAATTCATAGCGGTTGCGTTTGCGGGATATTTTTGACTGGTTAGCCAGCGGGTGCAAGAGCGGTTTAACCAAAAGTTACTAAAATAAAAATAATATATAATTATTCAAAACATTTATAACCATATTAATAATTTTTTTTTTGAAATATATTTTTTGATGAATTTTTAATTTGAAAACTACCCTTTTTTTTTGGTTTTGAAAAATACACTTTTTATATGTAAAATGATTATTCCTAATTTAATAAAAACGAAATTCAAATAAGAAATATAAAATATTAATATTTGATAATAATTTTGTATCATTTTAACATCCTAATTACCTGTTTAGTTTTTTTTAAACAATTTAATAAAAATATAAGATTGTTTATATAAAGTTTAAATGGGGTGAGATTAAAGTTGTTTATGCAAAGTTTCAAAAATATTTAAATTTTTCAAAAGATAAACATTAAAAATGAAAGATATATTTCTCCACTTTTAAATTTTTAATAATTTATAAACTTTAAATATATGTAAAGTTTTAATTTATTTAAAGTTTCATTTGGTTTGAATGTGTATGAGGTTAAGTTGTTTATATAAAGATCCAAAATATTAAAATTTGTTTCAGTTTAACATATACTATATTTATTTGAAAAAAAACTTATTAGTTTATTATTTTTTTAAATTTTCGTTTATAATTTGTAATTATTTATTATTTTTTTGTTTAAATCACGTCAAAACATACTTTTTACATTTTAAAAGTGTATTTTTCAAAACAGAAAAAATTTAGGGTATTTTCGAAATTTTTAAACATAATTATGGTATTTTTCAAAAAAATATACCCTTATTCCAAATTTGGAGATATTATGTTTTTTTTTTTTTTTTTTCAAACCGCAACCGCCCGCAACCGCAAACGCTTGCGGAAAGGAGCTTTTGATTTTCAGCGATATAGAGCGGTACAGAGTGGTATAGAGCGGTTGAAAGCGGTTGTCGTGATTGTTATAAAACGCTAAGAACCGCTACGAACCGCAAACGCTGCGTTTGCGGGTGGTAGCGGGAGAACCAATCATCACCTAACATTAAATGTCTCGGTAACTCTCCGATGCACGATTTATTGTACGATTAAATGCCAAAACGGCCGTTTTTTTTAACACAGGTAACAAGTAACAAGACAGTATGAATATATGTGTACAGTTTCTTTCACAAAGGAGTGTTTTTTCATAAATCTCTATGTCTTCTATTTAGCATTTTAGAAATTCAAATTCATTTTATCAGAGCTAGTCATATTATTTTGAAGAGCACTAATAGTTTTTTTTGCATCTTTCTTTGTAATTTCGTAATTTAGCAATATTCGTGGATCTGGTGCATGAGAGAACGAATTTTATTTATAAAGATTTTTTTGTTTTGTTTTGGTACACCTTCTCTTTCACAAATAGTATTTTAATTTTTTGTTTGCTTAAATTTAGAATAATTTATAATTTAAAGTTCGTTTTATCAAGCTAAGAAAATTTATTTTTATTTCATAGCAATATAGATATAGCTAGTACGTAGTAGCATATTTTTCTAAGAAAATGAGCACGTTAATAATTTATATAAACAGCATGAGGATATTTAAACAACAACGCTCTTACAGTTTAGTTTATACTATTGGATTTGTGGAACTTCCTCTATCTATATAGCTCAATATTGTGTTTGCAAGTTTGGTGAATTACCCTCATGTATATACAAGTCCCACAGTATTCATATTACATAATGGATTAATTAGCCTTGCTATATGTCGCTGTCCCGTTCTTTTAGATTACTAGATCTAAAATGTAAATATTTAGCCTTGATTTGAAAAAATGAATCCCATGATCTTGTAATTATTAAGCACTCGACCGTAAAGATAGGTGACCATGATCAACCATACGTACATATATATTATTCAAGAGGATTAATAAAATTATTGCATTTTTATTTTACTTACGAACAGACATTACACACAAAAGGTAGTAGCTAGCATTTCATAACAATTTAAAGGTGACAATCTCTGGTTTTATTTATGAATACAAAAGAGATTGTGAGTTTGTAGAGTATTTATATATACGCGGAGCAATGAGCTATCATGATCAAAGCTCAAGCTCAAGGGGTGGTGCTTTGGCCATAGCCAATGTTGCCGCCATTTCCAGAGCCGCCTCCACCGGTGGTGGCACCACCGTCTCCCGCTGCAGCACTACTACCGCCTGAACCGCTACCAAAGTTATCTAAATAACCGTAATCGGTGCTACCAGCGACAACGATAGATCCGCTGCCACTTCCAGAGCCACTTGTGTATGTACTGGCCCTGGAACGGCCACGACCGTTATCAGCTTCAGAGCTGCTACTGCCGCCTCCGTAGCCAGCACCGGCGATTTCAACGTAAAGCTGAGTTCCAACGCCATTGGTAGTTGCAGTTTTGGGATTAGAGATGCCTAGCGTGGCCTCTTTGGGGACTTCTTCGAGCTGCCTTGCGCCAACATTGGCACACACAACTCCAATGAAGAGAATCACAACAAACTTTGTGGCATTCATCTTTTAAAAAAAGTAAATTATTTCTAGTTAAGATGTTTTTGTGTTTTTGTTGTGAGTTGTGGTGTGTTCTTCTTCCTACCTCATAGCCTTTATATATACACACACATGCACATGTCGATACATTTGTATTTATTAGGATTCGTGAGCATTTCTTGCAAGAGAAATACATGTACTTAAATGCAATAGTAAAATTACAACTAATAATCTTACCAAAATGTCAAAATTTCCCAAAGTCTACCTCATGAACTATACACACTTTAATTTAGCATTATATTTAAAGTATAATTATGTTTCTAAATTGTCTTGTCATTTACGTTAATATCAAGTATTTAATTAGTTACTTCTCCAACGTAAGATTACTTGATCAATATCGTTATATATATTTTTAGCTCGTATAGTTGTGATTTGAGATATATATTTAAATTTCATGCAGCATGTCATTCGTTTAGCTTGCTTGGAGTTAAAATATTTCGGACTTGTGATAGATAACTTTTACGTGTTAGTGTGTACATCTTCTAATTCAAAGTGTGACAAACTCTACGTTGTCTACATGATTTCTTTGTAAACGCAGGTTTGCATTAAAGATCAAAGAAAATATCATCGAAGTTGACTACCATTAATTTGGTATAAATTAGATATTCTGAGTATTTAACCTGACGTACTGGTAAATTCAGTTCAACGTCTTATAGTGACAGTATGTATTAGTATTTGGTGTTTTCTTACGTAACGTATTTGGTGTCTTCTTGATTTTTATCTAGTTAAGATGTTTTAGATATTTGGTGGGACGTATGAAAAGTAAATTATATTTCAAATATATCGTTGATCAAACAGTTTGCTTTTCTACATTTTATAGTTTCCGTAATATCTTGTTTTATTGGCCAGACTGACTGATTTATCCAATTTGAGAACATTACGTAAGAAAACACCTACATTAACGAACGCCACCACTAGTAACTTGGTGATATTCATATTTTGGCTTTAATGATATGGCCTAACCATAAATCCTAGAAAAGCATGGTCAAGTTGTTGGTAAATCAAAGTTACAACTAATACTCATTCTCAGTGGGTAATATATAAATCTACTAATGACATGGTCAAGTTGTTGGTAAATAATACTTCAAACTAATAACAGAGGTATATACTGTATATCTTAATATCTTATTTTCAGTGGGTAATATTGCAATCTACTAGCAAAACGATGTGATGTTCCTAAAGTTGCAACTTGAGAATGATTAAAACTGAGACCACATATATAATGTGGACCATGGTCCTAACTTTTCTCTCAACACTTAGGTATTAGGTACTAAAAATCATCTTATTTTATATAGATTCAGGTATTAAAATATTGTCTAAAATTTAGGATGATTAAAGGCACCCTTCAAGTATTCATATAGTTAGTTAGAGTTAGAGACTTAGAGTCACACATATGAGTCAATGAGTGTATGACAAAAGAGTTTAGATTAAGTGTTTTCTTTGGAAAACTAATGTAACCTTTGTTCGACCCAAAGGTCAACAATTAAGTTAAATATTGTATGATGCTTCGCCACAAGTATTATATTCTAGAGGAAAGCATTTTCCCCACACGAATCTTTAATTTATTTTTTTGTGGAAAATGTAGCCACAAAGTGTCATAATCATCTTTTTGGGAATATAATATGACTGAATATGAATAATCATGTCATGGAATTAACAGAGTCACAGAGCATACGTACAATATGGACCACATTTTTAAATTAAAAAGCAGTTCCACCATTGGTTCCTCATGTTCCAAGGGATTAAGCTGTACTTTTAATCAAAATTCCAAAATATTTCTACAAGTATGCCTCAATCCTCATAAATCATAGCAAAAATAACATGATCTTTTGTATTTTTTGTTAGAAAATGGATATAAAATAAAATAAATTTATTTTAAAGTATTTTTTTTCAGCCGTGTGTCGTTTCCAAATTCATAGTCGCCACATCTCATACACGAACGCTCACCACGCGATGAAACCGTAAGCACTGAAGTTTCAATTCTCAGATTTATCTTCAACCAATCAGAATCCGCCACGTCATCAAAACGAATCATTCCGTGAAGACGTCCAGATTCTTGAACACTAGATGTTCGCATATTCGTTCGGCCATTATTTAACGCTCTATCTTAAACTAGTTACTATTCAAGACGAAGAAGACGAAGAGAATCAAAGAGCAGCAAAAACCAGAGAGATCTTCTTCTCCACAAAGAGAGAGAGAGATTTTTCGTATCGATTCTCTTTCGACGTTTTTGAAATCCGAGATATGGCTTTAGCTGTTACTTCTTCCTCAACCGCGATCTCTGGATCGAGTTTCTCTCGCTCCGGAGCTTCTTCTGATCCTAAAGGTACACTAATCTCTCTTTCATTTTCTCGGTAAACTGAGATTTGATTCTCCGATTGCTCGTTGTGGTCGCCATTTGCTGGATTCTAATCGGAAAATTTGGAATCTGGTGTTTTTGCAGCTCTTCAAATCTGCTCGCTTAGATTATCCGATCGAATCCATGTCGCTACTCTGTCTCAGAGACGTTACTCTGTGAGATCCGAGTCGCATTCACGCAGCGAAGCTTTCGTTGCTCGAGCTTCAACTCTAATTGCTCCTGGTTCGTTACTTTTTCCGATGATTCGAATTTCAAATTTCGTCCGATTTGTTTTTCCGATTTGCTGATTCCGATTTTGGATGGATTATTATCATCAACAGAAGTTGAAGAGAAAGAAGGAGACGTTGAGGATTTCGAGCAGCTCGCGAAGAAGCTCGAAGATGCTTCTCCACTTGAAATCATGGACAAAGCTCTCGAGAAATTCGGAAACGACATCGCAATCGCTTTCAGGTAAAAATCGATTCTAATCGATTCAATTAAACCAAAAAGAAAAAAAAAAACTTCAATCGACTGATGAATGAATCTGGGTTATTGATTTTGCAGTGGTGCTGAAGATGTTGCGTTGATCGAGTACGCTAAATTAACAGGAAGGTCCTTTAGGGTTTTCAGCTTAGACACAGGGAGGCTAAACCCAGAAACGTACAGACTCTTCGACGCAGTCGAGAAGCACTACGGGATCCGAATCGAGTACATGTTCCCGGACGCAGTCGAGGTCCAAGCGCTAGTGAGGAACAAAGGACTCTTCTCCTTCTACGAAGACGGTCATCAAGAGTGTTGCCGTGTGAGGAAAGTAAGACCTCTCCGTCGTGCATTAAAAGGTCTCAAAGCTTGGATCACAGGACAGAGGAAAGACCAGTCCCCAGGGACAAGATCCGAGATCCCAATCGTCCAGGTAGATCCGGTTTTCGAAGGGTTAACCGGTGGCGCTGGGAGTCTTGTCAAGTGGAATCCTTTAGCTAACGTTGAAGGTGTTGACGTGTGGACGTTCTTGAGAACGATGGATGTTCCCGTGAATGCGTTGCACGCTCAGGGGTACGTGTCGATCGGGTGCGAGCCGTGCACGAGAGCGGTGCTTCCAGGTCAGCACGAGAGAGAAGGAAGGTGGTGGTGGGAAGATGCTAAGGCTAAAGAATGTGGCTTGCACAAAGGGAACATCAAGGAGGGAGAAGATGGTGGTGCTGCTGATTTAACACCTGTGGTTGTTCAAGAGATATTTGAAAGCAGCAATGTGGTTACACTGAGCAGAGGAGGGATTGAGAACTTGATGAAGTTAGGTAACCGGAAAGAGCCGTGGCTGGTTGTGCTTTACGCGCCGTGGTGTCCGTTTTGTCAGGCGATGGAGGCGTCGTACGTTGAGTTGGCTGAGAGATTGGCGGTGAAAGGGGTTAAGGTGGCGAAGTTTAGAGCGGACGGTGACCAGAAGGAGTTTGCTAAGCAGGAGCTTCAGTTGGGGAGCTTTCCGACGATACTTTTGTTTCCGAAAACGGCTCCGAGGGCGATTAAGTACCCGTCGGAGCATAGAGATGTGGATTCGCTTATGTCGTTTGTGAATCTTCTCCGGTGAGTTTGTGAGAGATGTGGAAGAGGATTGAGATGAAGGAATGATTTCATCTTGGTCTTTGAGGTTGTTTGGATCTTGAAGAATAAACTTAAGGCTCTCTCTTGTTCTATATGACTTTGTTGTGTATATGGTATTGTAGGGTTTATAGACTCTTTTTGGCTGTTTCTTTTGTTGGATAAATGTTATTTCTTCTGAGTTTTACTCGAGTAGGAAGCCATGTAATGGAATTTTCTTGATTTATGTTTAATTAGTCTTTGTCGGAAGAATATTCATACGATTAGGCTTTAGAACCAACACTAATAACTCTTTTGTTTATATGTCCTCATCCAACACCAACTCATCTAATAAATGTAAAATCTGAAACAATATAGTTTCAAAATGGACCACAAACAAAAAAATCCTAAATCGGAAATAAATTAAGCAATATTCAAAGTATTCAGATATGGCAATAGGCCAATAGCTAATGGAGTTATATATTTTAGGATTATTCTGGAAGATGGCCAAATTCTCTTATATAACTTGGTAAATGCATTTGGTGGCAAAATGTAAGCGATTGTCTTTTTTTTGCATAGCTTGAGAGAGATTGAGCTACTTCATAAAATAAGATGACATCTGGTTAAAAAACATGTCACCGAGTAAAAGATGTCTTCAAATAAAATAGTGGGACGTTGACCACATAGCTTAGAAACCATTGATAGCATTAAAAACTAAATATCTTCTTCCTTATAGAGATGTCTTCAAATAAAATAGTGGGACGTTGACCACAATAACAATTATTCGTAGCTTTTTAGAAACCATTGATAGCATTAAATACTCCATATCTTCTTCCTTATAGAGAATATATATAAAACTGAATCTATTTTCTTTGGAGAACTTATATATATATATATATATATATGAACTGTTAAGACTTTTGAGTACCTATACTTGGGTTAACTAGAACAGAGAAAAGAAGCCAAAACAAACATACCAAAAAAACAAAAAGATGGTTTCATTTGGAAAATGTTTCTTCCTTGTACTGTTATGCCTAGCTCTTCTCATGTCCCCAAGTATGCAAAAATCATTTAGTATTTCATGTTTAATCATAAATAATATGTTTACTTATACTAATAATCACATATATTATATGAAGTTGGAATATTGTAATCTAACCAATTGGGTTTAGATTCATGTCAAAAAAAAGAAGTAACATATATTCCTTTATGTTATACAGAAAATGTCGTTTTACAATGTTTTCACACATGATACAATACAATTGACGTTTATATTACATTTTTTCTTCTTATAAAAGTATTCCTATTTAGTTACAAGACAATGGACATATACATTGTAAAAAAACCAAAAGAGATCATAGTCTAACTAATGTCTAATGAGTCGTTACATTTTTGAATATTTGACTGGCTTTTATTTTTTCTAAAACAAAACTTCAGAACCTGTGGAAGCAGCGGGGATAGCAGGAATAGGTCCTTGCTCGAGAATTCCAGATTGCAACAAAGAATGCCTTAATTTAGAATACTTGGGTGGAGTTTGTTCAAAACTACATCCAGGTGACAAAGAAGACACATGCGGTTGCTATGAAAGTGGCTAATGTCCGCATTTGTAATCTAATCTCTAAAACAAACAGTTATATGAAAATATATTGCATCAAATAAATTGAATTGATAGAACTTTACAGTCGATGTTCTCTTCGTAATCACAAAATTTCATATACAGATTAAATTGAGAATACAAAACAAAAATAGCTAATAGAGTAATATATTTATTGCTCTATTTAATAATGTAATTTGAATAATGAACTTAAAAACATCATATTTTATGAAGGATTAAGAGAATTGTTAAATTTGGAGAGATTTATATTTAGAAATCAATCAAAATATTTTATTATAATAGATTTTGAGAATATAAGGATTAAATATGTATTATTTTTGAAATTCTTTTTATGAGTTAAATTGTTTAAAATATATGTCCCAGTAACAAGGATTTTAGTGGATTCATAAAATCAATAAAAAAAAAAAAATAGTTAGTGGAAAGTCCATATATTCTACCTTAAATACTTAACTTTTTGGTAACTTTTTAAAACCCCTTCTTATCATCAAAAATATATAAATGATACTTATCAGATTAAATACCATGTTATTGAGGTTGTTTAACTTATTAATTATGTAGAGATGAATTTATATAAAGATGATAGATTATAATAATTAAGAGAATTGTTAAACTTACAAAGAGTTTATGTTAGATTTGGAGATAGTTTGTATATTTAGAAAATTGATCAAAATATTTTATTATAATGGATTTTGAGAATCTAATAATTATATATAGTATTTTGGAAATTTTGTTTCATGAGTTAAGTTGTTTAAAATATATGTCCAAATAACAAGGATTTTATGGATTCATGAAATAATTAAAACACAAAAAAATTACTTAGTGGAAATTCCATATATTCTACCTTAAATATTTAAAATTTTGGTAACTTTTTAAAAACCATTTTTATCATCAAATATTGTAATTAAGTAAATAAACTTCACTTATATTTTTGTTATAAGTGAACTTTATTTACTTAATTACAAAGATAGCAAGATTAGTTAGTGAAAATTCCATATATTCTACCCAATACAAAGATAAAAATAAAAGTGAATCTACAGTATTTTTGGTTAAAGAACTTATATATATATATATATATATATATAAACAAACGAGCAGTGAAGGATTTTTTGTTCAGTAACAACACATTATATAGCAAAAAAAAGATCAAAACAAACAAAAAATGGTTTCATTTGGCAAATGCTTCCTTCTTATGATTTTATGTCTAGCTCTTCTCATATCCCCAGGTATGCCAAAAATCATTTCAAATTTTATTTTTAACTATACATTATATGGCTGTTCACATGTATACTCATTGTTTTGATCTAACGACTCTTTATGTTTTTAAATATTGACTTTATTTTTTTTTCTATATAAAACTTCAGAACCTGTGGAAGCGAGGATGGCCATGGATCCGAAAGGTCCTTGCAAGAAATTTAAAGACTGCAACAAACGATGCATTGGGTAATCAGTTAGGTGGAACTTGTTATCCAAGTGACAATGGAGACGACATATGTGGTTGCTATATACTCCCTCCGTTTCAAATTAGTTGTTGTTTTGGCAAAATGTATCTGTAAATATTTGGACGTATCTGGACGTGTTTTGCATAGCAGATACATCCAAATAATTATAGATACATTTTCCCAAAACGACAACTAATTTGAAACGGAGGGAGTATAATTTTATATATGGCCACTTTAAAATATTGATCGTTCAAATGTTTTTAAAATAAGAAAATATTGCAATTATATGAAGATATTGTTGATCCAACTCTTTACTTACAAAATAAATAAAAACTTTATTATATATCGACTCTCTTTGAGATATTGATAAGAGTATTAAAAGCATGTCCAGCAGAGTAGGGGCGGATCTACTTTACAAGTAGGAGGGGCCAGCTGCCCACCATGGATTTATTAAATAAGTGCAATTTTGTTAAGGATTTTCATTATGTTCCTGTTGATAATTTAATTTTATAGAGGTAATTAGTACTTTTGAATTTATTTCCAAGATCCGCTCCTGCAGCAGAGATCAGATGGATCTCTTATAATTAAAGAAAAATGAAAAAGAAGGAAAAAAAGGAAAAAAGAAGAGAGAGAACGTGAGAGTGAGACGTATGTTACTAAAGAGATTGTCTTAGCAAATCTGAGAGACTAAAAAAGAGGTGGCAGTCTATGATTGGTTGTCTTTTTATTTATTTTAAATTTAAATCTTTAAAAAAAAATATATTTATTTAAAATGTAACTGAGACTCAATTTAGAGTATTAGGAATGGACATGCTCTAAGTGATCCCCGATTTGTCATGTAATCATATAAGCAAAATATATTGCACTAAATAAATTAAATTGATAGTACTTTACAGTCAATATATCGTGTTCGTAATCACAAACTTCAAATGAATCTTTTGTTGCCGACAAATGGGAAGAGCGCTAAATCCTCATGTGCGAATCTATATCGATTAGTTACATCAATTCTTAGCATCAAATACTATAATCTCCAAAGCAAAACAGTTATATGAAAAAAATATTGCATCAAATAAATTGAACGGATAGAACTTTACAATCGATGTTCTCTTCGTAATCACAAACTTCAAATGAATCTTTTGTTGCCGACAAATGGGAAGAGCTCTAAATCCTCATGTGCGAATCTATATCGATTAGTTACATCAATTCTTAGCATCAAATACTATAATCTCCAAAGCAAAACAGTTATATGAATAAAATATTGCATCAAATAAATTGAACTGATAGAACTTTACAATCGATGTTCTCTTCCTAATCACAAACTTCCATGCACAGATTAAATTGAGAATACAAAATAAAAATAGCTGATAAAGTAGTAATATATAAGATTACTCTATTAAATAATGTAATTTGAATAATGGACTTAAAAAAGCATCATATTTTATGAAGGATTTAAAAAAAAAAACAATACAAAAAGATTATGTAGATCCTATAATCAGCAATAAATTCATCTATAATTAATATATTCAGATATGAACAATTGATGGCAATAGCTAATAGAGTAATGTATATTATGATTATCTAGGTAGATGGCCAAATTCTATCATGTAGTTAGGTAAATGCATTCAGCATTTGGTGGGAAAATATAAGAGACAGTCTTTCCTTTGCATAGCTTCACCACAACACTCATTACACGTACTATTTTATCTCATATCGTTTCTTTACATGCACTAACTAATACTCTTTAGTCTTTATATACTTCATAAAATAACATGACATCTGGTAAAAAACATGTCACCAAGACAAAATATCAAGTTGTGAATCAATACAATATGTCTAATAAAACAGTGTGACGTTGACCAAAATAGTACATTATTTTTAACTTTTTTAGAATCACTGATATCATCAAATTAAATATTTTAATGATAGCAGATAATATAGAATGTTAGTTTGAGATTG